CAGGTGGGGCGTTCTGGTGGCTCCTGTGCAGGTCCTGAGGATCTGCAGAGCAGGGCCAGGGGGCATGGGCAGGGCGGGCAGCTCCGTTCGCCCTTCTGACAGTGTAACGGCTCAACTAAAAGCTGAGCTGAGAGGCGAGATTGGCACTCACAAAGGAAACAAACCCCGGAGAGTAGAAATAAAAAGTTGGTGTCTGTGCTGGCGAGCAGGTTGAGCTGCAGGCTGGTTGTGATGTCTGTGGTCTGACGTCTGCTCCCGTTTCAGTGCGAGATGGCTTTCCCGCGGGTTAAGCCCGCCGCTGATGAGAGCGCCTTCAGCGAGGCCTTGCTGAAGAGAAACCAGGACCTGGCACCGACGGCGGCTGAACAGGTGCTGAAAATCACCTCGTGTGCTAGCTGGGATGCAGAGAGAGACTCGTTCAGAGAATGTAGCTGGTAGAGGTCGTGGCTAGCCTAAAAAGTAATAGTTTCTTTGAAGCACTGCAGTAGAAATGTCCAAGAGATTTTTTGGACAACAATTTCCAAATAAGCATTTAATTGTTATTTTCCATTTGTGCTACGTTCCTCGAGACCATCCCGGGAACTGCTCGATTCCAGCTCCCGTCTTCATTCCTTTCCAGGCTTCCATCCTTTCCCTGGTGACCAAAATCAACAACGTGATTGACAACCTCATCGTAGCGCCGGGAACTTTCGAGGTGGTGAGTCCAAGGGGTTCCCTTGGGAGGTGTTTTAGGGGGATGCTGGCGTCCCAGCTGCCAAACCTCGCCCCAGGTGGATCACCCTGAATTTTTCAGTCACTCAAAGGTCCGTGCTTTGTCCCCGAAATGCAGCGCGTGCGTTGGTTTTGCTAATTCTGCCTTTATTTCAACAGCAAATTGAGGAGGTTCGCCAGGTTGGCTCCTACAAGAAGGGGACCATGACGACGGGGCACAACGTGGCCGACCTGGTGGTGATCCTGAAAATCCTACCCACGCGTGAGTATCCCTCCCGGGGCTGCGGGGGGAGGGCAGGGCCTCGCCCTGCTCTAAAAACCTCTCCTGCTCCCCAGTGGAAGCCGTGGCGGCCTTGGGAAACAAAGTGGTGGAGAGCCTGAGGGCGCAGGACCCCAGCGAAGGTAGGGGCAACGCGGGGCTCTGACCCTGCCCGTTCTGGGGCTGAGGCATTGCTGGGGGTCCCTAAATCCTTGCAGCCCCTCTGAGGGAGTTGAATTTCCCCCCCCACAAGTCCTGACCATGCTGACCAACGAGACCGGCTTCGAGATCAGCTCGGCCGACGCCACGGTGAAGATCCTCATCACCACGGTGCCGCCCAACCTGCGCAAGCTGGACCCCGAGCTGCACCGTAAGGGCTCTGCTGGCTCTGCCCTCGCGTGCCAGCCCTCCCCGGGGGCTCCCCTAGCACCCGCTCACCTTTTGGGTGAAAAAACGGGCGTTTTTGTTGCTTCTTTCAGTGGACATCAAGGTGCTGCAGAGCGCCCTGGCTGCCATCAGACACGCTCGCTGGTTTGAGGAGAACGCTTCGCAGTCCACGTGAGTTTGGCCTTGAGTCAGCCGGGTTGGAATTCTCTTCCCAGGGAACAGGGAATGAGGAGAGCTCCTGCTCCCATGGCAGGATCATGTGTGACGCGTTATGAGCTCTGCTCTTTTCGTCTTGTCCAGGGTGAAGGTGTTAATCCGGCTGCTCAAAGACCTGAGGATTCGCTTCCCTGGCTTTGAGCCCCTCACTCCCTGGATCCTGGACTTGCTGGTGAGTGCACAAAGGCAGAAGCTGGAGCTGTGCCAGCCGTGCTGCAGCTGTGGTTGCTTCCACACCTGCAGAGCTCAGACTCAGAGCAGCTCCAGCAGGATTTTGGCTGCCCACCCTTCCCGTGCAGGGAGCCCGGCTCATCCTAACGCTTCCCCTCCCTCCGCAGGGGCACTACGCCGTGATGAACAACCCCACCAGGCAGCCCCTGGCCCTCAACATCGCCTACAGGTCAGTCTGCGCTCTGCCTGCACGACCTCCTGTCCCCCCCAAATCAAATCCTGCTGCCTAAAAACCATCGGGGGCTTTGTCCTGCAGGCGCTGCCTCCAGATCCTGGCGGCGGGACTCTTCCTGCCGGGCTCTGTGGGGATCACAGATCCCTGTGAGAGTGGTAATTTCCGCGTGCACACCGTCATGACCCTGGAGCAGCAGGTGAGGCACCTGGCGTGATGTGGGGACAGGGGTGGGGGCTAAAATCAGCCCTGCGCTGACCCCAGCCCTGCACAGGACATGGTGTGCTACACGGCGCAGACGCTTGTCCGCATCCTCTCTCACGGAGGCTACAGGAAGATCCTGGGCCAGGAGGGCGACGCCAGCTGTGAGTAGGCTTGAAAAGGTTTTTTGGGGGAATGGGCCTGGTTCTGCGTGCTGAAAAACTGCTTAATAACACCCAGGAGGCAAAGCTGCAGCTGGGGGGGCTGCTGGGCTGCAGGCTGATGCTGGGGGGTGTGGAGCTTCCCTCTGCTGGCACCCAGAGCTGCAGCAGGGCTCATCCTGCCCGAGGGCACCCCGACAGCCCTGGGGGGCCGTGAGCTGCCTGCTCAGTGCTGTTTGTTGCAGATTTGGCTTCCGAAATGTCCACCTGGGATGGAGTGATAGTGACGCCTTCCGAGAAGGCCTACGAGAAGCCTCCGGAGAAGAAGGAAGGAGAAGAGGAAGAGGAGAACCAGGAGGAACCCGCAGCAGGCGAGGAAGAGGAGAGCATGGAGACTCAGGAGTGACTGAAGGACCCGGTGCATCCTGAGTGAGCACAGCGAGCTGCTGTGCCCCCCTTGTGTTTGTGTTTTATAGGTTCGCATTAAAACCTCCCCGTTTTGAGTGTGTCCCGTGTCCCTGGAGCGACGCACACTACAGCAGGGGCTCAGCAAAAGGGCTGGGGGGGGCCAGACCCCACCGGGTGCTGCCTGGGGGGGGCTGAGCCCCATACATGGGCCTGTGACCCGAGCAGCATTACAGACCCACACTGCCCCACCGAGCACCAACCGCCCTTTATTTCCCTGCCTCCACCCCTGCAAGCGCAGCAGCCGCAGCCCCCAGCTCGCTGAGCACCCCCTGCAGCCCCACCGGGGGGGCTCCTCGTGTCCCCCCCCGTGCTGCAGCCACGGATTCCTGCCACCCGCTTGCGTGGTGGGCGTGTCCCCGGTGCTGTCGGTGCTGCTCCCGCTCCGTCCCAGCGCCCCGGGGGGGGGCGCAGCCGCCTCGGATCCGGCCCGGTGCCGCTGGGGGGAGCCTCACTTGCCGGGCAGGCCCTGGGGGTAGCCACCGGCGGCCTCCAGCAGGGCTTTCCTGCGCACCTGTCTCCTTGGCCACGCTGTGGTTCAGCCTCCGCAGCCGCTCCTGCTCGAGGAGGGGGGGGGTAGCAGAAGCTGTCAGCACTGGGGGGGGGCGGGACCCCCCCCAAAAACCCACCGCAGCCCCCTCCCCACGCCCACCTGTGCGTTCTGCAGGATGTTGTTGACCAGCACCACCCTGCGCCGCGCGTTCAGCAGCTTCTTGCACGTAGGGGTCGAGGTCGAGCGCCACTTTCTGGTCCTCGTTGATGCGGCACAGCTCTGCGGGAACCCGCGCGGGGCTCAGGTGGGGAACCCCCCCCGGACCCTCCCCCCTCCCGGTCCCAACGGGGCCCCCCCCGGTGCCTCCTCACCCGTGGCCAGGCTGTCGATGTGCTCCCGCAGCTCCACCTGGCTCTCCCTGGGGAGGACACGGAGCTGGGGGCAAGGACCGGGAACCCGGCCCAGACCCCCCCCCCCCCCCGCTTCCCGTTACCCCTCCCGTTCCGTCCCCCCCCGTTACCGATGCCCTGCGGCCCCCCAGGCACCACCCCGAAAGCCCCCAGCCCTGTCCCCAGCCCCGGTTCTCCCCCGGTACGTCCCCGCCCTCGGCCCCCACCACCTCTAAAACACCTCACGGCCCAAAACTGCCCCGGTCCCGGTGCCGTGAGCCCGTTCCCGGTCCCGTTCTCGGCCCTCAGCCCTTGTCCCGGCCCCGTTCCTGGCTCCCTTCGCCCATCCCGGCCCCACGGTCCCAGTCCCGGTCCTGTTCTCAGCCTCCCCCCCCCCCCGCCCGGTCCCGTTCCCGGCCCTCAGCCCTGGTCCGGGTCCGGGTCCCGGTCCCGTTCTTGGGGCCCCGGCCCCGTTCCCGGCTCCCTCTGCCCGTCCCGGTCCCATTCCCGTTCCCATTCCCGTCTCTCGGCCCTGTTCCCGTTCCCGGTCCCGGTCCCGTTCCCAGCCCCCCCCTCGCCCGTCCAGGCCCCACAGCCCCGTTCCCCGTTCCCCACCCGCCCCGTTCCCGTTCCCGGTGCCCCGTTCCCGCTCCCGGACCTGACGGCGTGCACGTGCCCGTCGAGCTGCCTCACTGCGGGCCGCAGGAACTGCAGCAGCCCCTCCGCGAACAGCTCCCGCGCCTGCGGGACCGCCTCCCCCTGCCGCCGCCGCCATCTTGGCGCCGCCGCCGCCGCGCGGACCCACGGGAAATGGCGGCGGGGCCGCCGCGCGCAGGGGGCGCCGGGAAATGGAGTCCGCGCCGCGCTCCCGCGGCCACTTCCGGCCCGCGCCGCGGGGGCCGCTGGGAAATGTAGTTCGGGGGGCGCCGCCCTGCGGCCACAGCCCAGGGAGGAGCAGCGCGTTTTGGGGTCGTTTCGTCTTTTTTTTTCCTCCTGTTTTTTTCTTTCTTTTTTCCTTTCTTTTTTTTTTTCTTTCTTTTTTTTTCCCCTTCGTTTATTCCTTTTTCCTTTCTTTTTTTTCTTTCCTTTTTTCCCTTCTTTTTTTTATCTTCCTCTCGTTTTTTCCTCCTTTTTTTTCTTTCTTTTTTTTTCCTTTCGTTTTGTCCTTTTTTTTTATTTTTTTTCTTTCCTTTTTCCCTTCGTTTTTTTCCTTTTTTTCCTTCCTTTTTTTCCCCTTCTTTTTTTTTTCCCCTTCTTTTTTTCCCCTTCTTTTTTTTTTTTAATCTTCCTTTTTTTTCCTCTTTTTCCTTTTAACTTTTTTTTTTTGTTGGGGAGGTCTCTTCCTTACAAAAAAATTAAATTAAGCGCGGGGTGTGGGTGGGGGACGGGAGGGCGGTGTTGCGTGCTAGCGCAGGGGGCCCGGCTCGGCGGCGGGCATGGTGTGCAGCACCTCGTCCAGCAGCTGCAGCGCGCGGTGCAGGTGCACCTCGATCCAGCACGGCGTGTGCTTGATGCTCTGCCGGGGGTAGTCGGGCCCCCAGCCCTTGACGAAGCTGAGCCGCAGGATGCAGAGCCGCCTCAGATCGTCCACGCCGATCCCCGCCGCTGCCGACAGCCCTGCCCGGGAGGGAGACATCCATGGGATGTGGGATCCGAGGGCTGGGGGGCGTTCGCCGTGCCCCCCCCACCCCAAACACCATCCCGCACCCCCCCCCCGGGTTCACTCACCCACGGCGGGCGCGATGCCCCCGACCGAGCCGGGCCCCGGGATGGTGCCGGCCACGGCGGCCGCTTGAGCGGCGGCGGCGGCCTGGGCCGTGGCTGCCTGCTGCTGCATCTGCCGGTGGCACTGGCGCAGGTCAAACACCTGGGGGGGCGAATAAGGATAATGGGGGGAGACCCCTCAACGTGGGTATGGGGTCCCTCCCTCCCCGCAGCCCCTCCGTCCCCTCCTGGCACCAGGGACCCAGTGCTGGGGGTGCCATTTCACGTGGCTGTGGGGTCCCCCCATCCCCTGTTTTTTTTTTGTTCCCCCCCCCCAGCACGGGGGTCCCCCTTTTTTTGGCACCCACCTCAACGTGGCCTTGGGGTCCCGCCCTCCTTGGGGTCCTCCCATTGCCCCTTGGAGCTGGGGACCCTTCCCTTGGGACCCCCTTTAACGTGGGCACGGGGGTGGGGGGGTCGCCCCACCCCATAAACCCCTCTCCCCCGTCCCCCACCTTGATGTAGGCGCCGGGGTAAATCTTGTGCACGGCGTCCCCGGGGGCCCTGCCGGCCTCCCGGTCCAGGTAGTAGCTCTGCACGAAGACGGCGTGGTCGCTCAGGCACCGCATCCACACGTCCCCCTCGCCGCGGCACTCCAGCTGCACGCCCTTCCCGATGTGCAGCCTGCCCCGGACAGGCCGTCAGCCCCCCGTGTCCCCCCCCTCCTGCCCCCGCACCCCTCCACCCTCTTCATTTTCCCCCCCACCTGCCCCCTACCCCCCCCATTTGCCCCCCTTCTGCCCCCCATGTCCCCCATTTTGCCCCCTGTGTCCCCCATTTGCCCCCTGTATCTCCCTCCTGCCCCACGCACCCCCCATCCACCCCACGCACCCCCCTTTACCCCCCCCAGTCCCAAACTGCCCCCTTAATCCCATTTCTGCCCCACACATCACGCTTTGGCCATGTACACCCCTGCTGGACCTGCGCCATCTCCATTTACCCCCGCCTTCTGCCCCCATACTACCCCTAATTAATATTATCTCCTCCATTTACCCCCCCATCTGCCCCCATATTACCCCTAATTAACATTACCTCCTCCATTCACCCCCCATTTTCTGCCCCCATACTACCCCTAATTAATACTCTCATACATTTACCCCCCCTTTTGCCCCCATATTACCCCTAATTAATATTACCTCCTTCATTTACCCCCCCCTTTTGCCCCTATATGACCTCTAATTAATATTACCTCTTTTACCCCCCCATCTGCCCCCATACTACCCCTAATTAACATTACCTCCCCCATTCACCCATCATTTCCCCCCATACCCCCCCCTCGTACCCACACCTCCCCCAATTCCCCCTGTATCCCCCCCCCACCCCATCCACCCTCCCCATGCCCCCCATTCCCCCCCACCCCCTTCACACCCACACCCCCCCTTACCCCCCCATTCCCCCCATCCCACCCTTTACCCCCTGCCTCCCCCCCTACCCCCGTTGCCCCCCCCTCGCCCCCCGCCCCACCGGGCCCTCTCGCTGGCGTCGGTGCGGTGCACGTTGGAGAGCTGCCCCAGGCAGAAGCGGTCGCCCCCCGAGGGGTCCACGTAGCCGTCCACGATGACCACGGGACAGTTGGACGGCACCTTGAAGATCTCCCCCACCTGCACGTCCATCTCGAAATAGGTGATGGAGCACCAGAACTCTGGCCCTGAGGGGGGGGGGAACACGTGTTTTTTTTTTGGGGGGGGTCAGGGCACCCGAAATGAGCACTGGGGTGCTGGGTGCCCAGCGGGTGCTTACCGGGGTGCGTGGACACCGGCTGCTGGTAGGGTGCAGAGCTATGGGGTGGGGGCCCTGGGGTGGGGGGGGCACAATATGGGGTGAGTGCTGTGATGCTGTGCCCCCCCCAACCCCATTAATTAACTCCCCCCAGACCTACAGTAGTGGTTGGGGTGGTGCAGGGGGGGCTGCGGGTGGCTCCGGCTGCTGGGCTGGGGAGGGGGCTGCAGCCCCCCAGGCTGGGGGCGTAGATGGCCGTGCTGCCGCTGCTCCAGCTCGCCGGAGAACCTGGGGTGGGAGAGAGGGTGGCAAAGGGGAGGGGGGTCAGCGTGTAGGACCCCCCCCATAAAGCTGGGGGACGGGGCAGCCCCGGTACTCACCGTGGTAGGGCGGCTTGGGGGGCGCGGGGTATCCGTTCTGCGGGGGGGGCTGCGCTGGCGTGGCGGGGGGCGGCGTGGGGCAGGCGATCCGCAGCAGCCCCTCGTTGGGGGGCAGGGGGAGCAGGGGGCCACCGGGGGCCACTGCGGGTTGGGGATGGGGTTTGGGGGGGCTCAGCGTGGTGCCCCCAAACCCTTCCCCAAAAACGGGGCTGATTTTGAGGGGGGGGGGTAAATTGGGTCTTACCTGGGGGCGACATGGGCAGTGCAGGGTAGAGGCTCCCGGGGGCGCGGGGGGATTCGGGGAGCGTCGGGGGGGGCAGCGGCGGGCGGTAGGGCTCGGCGGGGGGGCGCGGCGCCCGCTTGGCCCCGTGCGGCACCTCCATCTGCACACAGGCATGGACAAACTCCTCCTTCACCAGGCGGGCGGGGGGCGCTGGGCGGGGGGGACACCGGAGACCATTGGGGGGCTGGGGGGGGGGCGGAGGGGGCCCACGCGGAGGGGGCTGCCGGGTCCGGGTCGTAATGGGGCCGGGGTCTCACCTGCGCTGGGGATGCTCAGACCTGGTGGGGAGAGACGAGGAGGGGGGTGGTGGTGGTGGGGGGGCGTTATGGGGGGGTGTCGGGGAAGCGTGGGGGGGGGTTGTGGGGGTGTCGGGGCTCACCGATGGCCGGGGCCACCACGCGCTCGTAGTGGTAGGGGTTGACGCAGACGCTGTCGTACTTGAGGTCGAAGGCGAAGCGGCAGAACTTGGCGTGCTTCAGCTCGTTCTTGTGCAGGTCCGGCCAGCGCCACAGCCGGGCGTAGATGACGTGGGGGAACCCCTTCCTGCCCGCCACCTTTTTTTGGGGGGGGGGGGGACACGGGGTGAGGAGGGGGACACGGTGAGGAAGGGGACAGGGTGGGTGCCCAGGGGGATGTTGCACCCCACCACGCGCAGCCAGCCCCACCGATGGCACCCCCAACATGGGGATGTGGGGGGGGACACACACAGGGTTGGACCCCCCCCCAAGCATCCATCCATCACCCCCCCCCACCCCCGACCCCAAATAAATCCCCGCAGCTCGGCGCTGGCGCCAGGCTGGGACCCCGCAGCGGCTGGGGGCTCCCCCTGCGCCTCCCCGGAGCCGCGCTCGCTCCAGACATAACAACCCCCCCGCGCCCCCCCCCTGCTGCAGGCTGCCAGACAGTGACTCATCCCCGCAAGGGGGGCAGCGCCGCCGGGGGACGGGGATGCCGGAGAAAAGGGGTTGGGGAGGGGGGGACGGGACAGTGGGTGGGGGGCAAAGCAGCCCCCTGTGATGCTCTGCCCTGCTGGGGGGGGGCTGCTCTGCCTGCCCCCTGTCCCCCCCCCCCACAGCCACGTGTGGTTCAGCAGGGATGCTGAAACCAGCGCGGAGCCAGGCAGGGAGCTGTGGGGTGGGGATTGTGGGGACCCCCCCTGCGCACCCCTCTGCTCGGGGGGGGTCCTCTGGTGGGTCTCCCCCTGCCCCCGTGCCTGCCCCCCTCCCCACCTTGTCCCTGTCTTCCAGCTTGGGGGGGGGGTGCTGGGGTCTCAGGGGACTGGCAGCCAGGTAGCCAAAGCTTGGGGTGGGTTGTGGGGTCTTGGGGGGCTCTGGGGTACCCCAAAGCCCAGGACCCCCCAGCTTGGGGATCAGCACAGGGACAGCATGGGCCAAAAGCTGGGGATTGCTGTGGGGTCTGCAGGGCACCGGGATACCCCAGTCCCTCCAGACTGGGGACACCTCGCGTGCTGGGGGCTCACGGGGCACCGGGACCCCAGGTCCCCAAAGCTTGGGGAGGGCCGTGGGGTTTGGGGGGAGGGTTATGGAGCATCAGCTCCCCCCAGCTTGAGGACAGCTTGCACGGGGGAGCATTCATGGGGCACCAGGACCCCCAGGACCCCCAGCTCGGGGATGTTTGGAGGGTCTTGGGATCACCCAGGTCCTTTGGGGAGGCCGTGGGGTGCCCGGGGTGGGGGTTACCTGGAGCCGCCCGTCCAAGGTGCGCTGGATGGTGACGCACTTGCTGGGGTGGGCGCCGTTGGTGGTGATGGCGGCGATGAGCGAGTCGAGCTCGTCCTTCTTCTCCTTCAGCTTCTTCACCAGGCTCTCGATGGCCCGCTTGGCGAAGGTCTCGTTCTCCCCGCCCTGCCGGTGGCACATCAGGCTGTGCACGATGCTCAGGCAGGCGTCGCTGCTGGTGGGCGCGCCGAGGGACATGGCGCCGCTCCCCTGCAAGGCACGGCACGGCACGGCCCTGCCCGTCACCCCCGCGGCAGGGGTCCCGCCGGCCCCCCTGCCCTCGCCTGCGCGCCCACCGCGGCACGGGGCCGCTCAGCATCGTGGCAGCGCCGCGCCGGTGCCCACAGGGGGGGGCTGGAGGTGGGGAGAGGAGGGGGATTATTCGGCCCCCCTGCGGCACCGGGGACGCGGTGGCACCTGGAAAGGGCACGTGGCGGGCGAGGAGGAGGTGGCACAGAGCCATGCGTCACCTCGAATTGGGGGGGGACCAGCTTGGATGCGTGGCTTCCACGGTCCCTATCCGGGGTGGGAAGAGGCCACAGGGGTAACGGCGATGCCTGGGGCGCTCAGGGTGTCCCCGGCGGCACCAGAGCCCGCGGGTGGCCACGTGCCCGGCCCGGGGGTCCGCGGGGACGGCGGCGCCGTGCGGCCAGCAGCCGCGCCACCCCGACGGCGTGCGGCGGGGAGGCCGCCCGCGTGTGCGCAGCGTGCGGCCGTGCGAGTGCTCACCTCGGGGTGCCGCAGGCGTGCTCGGCGCTGCCCCGGCCCCGTCTCCAGCGCGGAGCCCAGACTAAACAGAGCCCGGGCTGCTGGCGCCGCTCCTTAACCCCTCGCTGGCTGCTGCGTTGGGCTTCTCCCTCTGCCTCCTCCGTGCGCACGCCGAGAGCCGCGCGCACACGCGTGTGCCGGGGCCCCCGAGCATCCTTCCACCACCCCCCTCCCCGCCTGCCTTCTCCAGCCGGGGCTCTGAGTCACGGCGGGTGCGAGCGCTCCCGGGCCTGGGAAAATCCTTGGGCCGGCGGCAGACACAACAAACCCTTCGCCCCTGCTCCGCGCCGCTTATCTGCGGGCCGGGAGGCCGCTCGTCCTGCCAGCGCGCTGCTGGCTCGGCCCCCGGCGCGGGCGCATGGCCACGGCCCCCCCCCCCCCTTCGCCGGAGCGATGCTGCTGGCCGGGCTCCCCCGCTTTGAGGCCAGCCAGATGCCGGGAGCGGGACTGGGGGACGCCAGAGGGGCCCCCGCTGTTGGAGCACGGCCCCGGGTTCCCCTGCGGGCTGTGGGGTTTGCTCCGTGGGTGCCTCAGCACCCGTCGCGGTGATGCCCGGAGCTCCCCGGTGCCGGTGCTCGTGGTGCTCGCTGGCAGCCAGCTCGTCCCCGGGGACCCCGCCGGCCTGGCACGCTCTGCCTCATGAGCGAGGCTCAAATTTTGAGGGCAAAGGAGGTGAAAGAGGGCAGCAGGGAGTCCCTGAAAGATGGGGCTGCGCGGGGCCACCCCAGCAGGAGCCTTCCCGGTGTCGGTTGCGGCTCCCAGCAGCTCCGGTGATGCCGGTGGCTCCGGGAGGACGGCTCGAGGAGAACCAGTCCCCAATCCCCTCCAAAAGTCAGCCCAGTTTGGGGCAAACTGAAGCAGAGGGGGTGCTGCTGGCTCACCGAGAGCACCGCCGGCACTGCCGGTGCCATGGGACGGGGCTGCCCAGAGCCGGGGGGGTCCCGACGAGGCCCCACGGGGGTCCCGGTGCGGCCGCTCGCTGGGGTCACCTCCCGGTGCCTGGTCCCCCCGCTCGGGCTGGAGGTGACATTTCTGTGCCAGCCTTTTGTCCCAGCCGGAGGGGGGCTTTTCACCGGCCCTCGCTGCTCCTCCAGCAGCGGAGGGGGGGGCTCGGGCTGGGCTCTGTGCCCCCCCCCCCCCCACCCTGCATCGCCCCGACCACCACCGCCCCCAGCTCGGCGGAGGGGACCCCGCGACCCCCCTGCCTAACCCCGGGGCCGCCAACTTCGCTCCCCGGTAATCCCCGGGGCACGGACAAAGGCACCGGCGCTGCCCGGGGGGGGTCCCGCTGCCAGCCCGGTGCTGGGATCCCTGGGGGGGTGCAGAGGGGGGGCTGCAGCCCCCAGCCAGGAGGGTGCCGAGGGGATGCGCGGGGCTCCCGGCGCCTTATTGCAACCCCCGGGACGTCCCGGAGCGGGGGCTCGGCTCCGTCCCCGGTGGCACCGGGGCCCCCCCTGCACAAACCCAAACCGGGGAGGGGGGGAAACGGGGAGCGGAGCAGAGGGGGGGCTCCACCGGGCGGTGGGCAAGGGGGAGCCGGGCCGGGTCGAGCCGGGCGAGGACGGGGGGCAGCAGGGGGGGGGCTGGGCAGTGCCGGGGGGGGGGTCAGAGCCACTCACCTCCGCCGCCCGGCTCCGTTCAGCCGGGGCCCGGCTCCCGCCGCATCCCCGCCGCCGCCGCCGCCAACTTGGGCGCTCCGGCAACAAAAGGGGCCGCCGGAGGCGCCGCCGCGCCGCGGCCAATGGCAGGCGGCGTGACAACCGGCCGCCGCCCCTGCCGGCCAATGGGGGCAAGGCTTACATCGCGGGCGGGGCTCTTGCCCCAGGCTCCGGACCCGGCTCCGGGCGCGGCTCCGGCGCGGAGCTCCCCGGGGGGACCTGGGGGGGACCCGGCCCCAAGGGACGCGGAGCCCCCTGGCCCCATTCCGGCCCCTCGCCCTGACCCAGGAGGGGTCCGCGCTGCTCCAGGCACCGGAGCTCCCCCAGCAGCCCCCCAGCAGCACGGGGAAGGCACCGGGGCGCTCCCCAGGCACCCACCGAGGGAATTTCACCTCCACCAAGCAGCAGCGATGTGTGCGGGGGGCTGAGAGCACCCCCCAACCCCCAGCACCCCCTCACGAGGAGCTGCAGGGCTGGGGAACACGCCCCCACCCTGCAGGGCGCAGGTTTTGGGGTCCAGCCCTGCCCCCAGCACCCTAATGCATGGGGCACAAGGGAAGGGCACGGATGTGCCCCAAATCAGCAGCAGAAAGGCCACGGTGACCCCCAGAGCACACCGAGGAAAGGGAAAGAAAGCAGCCGAGCCGACTTTGCTTTTGTAATTATTTCTCCTTTTGTTACAACAAACCAGAAATACGGGATTCCAGCGAAACGGAACAGGTCACAGAACGGCCGGACTTCAAACTGGAGGGCAGGGGGAGGAGCGGGCCCCTTCTCCGTTCCCAAAGGCGCGGGGGCTGCTCTGAGGGCTCGGTTTCGGTTACACTGAGCCCTAACAGCACTGGCGAGTAAATAAACCTTGGACCCCGGGTTTTGAAAAGCCAGTTCTGCCCCGACCTGCTGTCACTGATGTAAGGCCATGGTCCTGCTTCCCATCCCTTTAAATAAAATTTCCTGCAGATACAGAAACCACTGGTGCCATCTGCTCGTACACAACACAAAAAGAAATCCAAACTTTTATCTAAAACAAACCCCAAAAAGCCTTCAGCTCGGGAAGTCCTCCGCACTACTCATTAACAGAACGCTAGCTATCAACAAGAGAGGAATTTTGGGTGCAAAACAGCAAGATTGGCAAGTCTACAAGGAGCGCTACACCTAAACCTGGCTCAACTGTTCACCCTGCCGGGAGCCTTTACTTCGGATGGACTGAAGGGAGCTGGGGGCGTGAGCTCGGCCCCTCGGTCGCACTTGGGGACAGCACCGGTCCCAAAATGCAACCGCGGTGCCTCGGAGGCACAGAACCGTGCGGTCCCAGCACCAAGGAGCAGATCCCCTCCGCGGGGGGGCTGCAAGGAACCGCGGCCGGCTGATGTCAGGGGCTAACGGCGGCACGTCTGTCAGAGTCACCTTTGGAGTAGTTAGGGGAGGGGGAAAAAAAGATACAAAAAACAATCCGGAAAGGTTCCATACAACACAGAGTATCAAAATATTAAAGAAACGCGCTAAAGGCTGATTTCTTGGTAGAACAGGGCCGCTCCCTATTCTTGTGGGTCCTTCCAGCATGAATCAGGGTTTCCATTTTTAGCTTATGGGCATTGACATAACACACTAACTTCACCGACAGTCTCTCGCAACGACCCTCAGTCGTTTGTTTCGGGGTCTGTCTGAGCCATGTAGGCATCCAGCTCGGCGTCGAGGTGTCCTTTCGTTTTCGACATGTAAGCATCTAACTGGTTGTCCAGCTGCTCCTTGGTCAGCGCCGGGCGTGCCGATCCTCTTCCTCGTCCTCTGCCTCTGCCGCGGCCTCCGAAGCCCCCTCTTCCCCGGCCCGCCATGCCGCGACCTTACAGAGACGAGACAACAGTTATACGGCAGCAGACGCAGCCTCGGGGCCTGGCATGGCAGAGCCACGGCCCAGCTGCTGCAGCACCTCCCCGGGGAGCCAGGCAGCCTCGCTGGAGCTGCTGCCCCCAGCTGCAGGACTCGGGCTCTGCTGCGCTCCCCAGGCTGCTTCGGTTTCAGCCCGGAGACATCTGAGCCGCAGCTATCTGCCGAGCCCTCAGCTCCGACTGCCAGCTCCCCTGCTTGCATTCCAGCCCCTACACCACTCCGCATACTTTCTTCTCTGCTGAGTGCAGCCCCTGCAGATTTTTGGGACAGGTTCAAGCTCTCAGCAAAGAGCCAACTCCAGCAAACATTACAAGCAAACTTCTAGTGAAGTACCTCAAATCCTGAGTTTTCAGACTATTTCCGAAGCAGGACACCCAGGAAACAGCCCTGATCAGTACTAGCACTAGTTTGTCAGGTGAAGAAATAAAACAAAAGCCAAAGCTGTCAGGAGACATGCAGGTTCCCAAAGACTGCTCTGAGAAACACTGCTCATCTCCAAGTAACAGATCACATCCAGCAGATGTTCTAACCAAACGTGTCAGAAACATTACCGACCCTGCCATCAGCAGCTGTCTCCTTACTTCCCCCCTGTGCTCCTGCTTCACTCTGGTGCTTCTTATTTGTTGTTGACAAGGGGAAGGCTCATTTCCCCAAGACTTGATTCAGTTTCTGACTTTGCATTTAATTTTGCTTTGCCCATGTGAAGGGTCAGTGAGGAACCTGCTCCTTCATACACCAGTTTGAGCTTTCTATCGAGTTTCTGCCCCTCACCCAATTAAAATGTCCAGCCTTGTGGTTTACACAGGCCATTTAGCATTTCCTTTCTGAAGCACAAGAAGACAGCGTAGCCTTCCTCAGCACGTTCAGAGATTACTCACTGCCTGCACTACTACCAAAAGCATCACAGAGCCAGCAATACCTGCAGGAGGGAACAGCACTACCCAAACCCCCTCTAGCACCACTGAAAGTCAAAGATCTGGGTTAAGCACAGGGCCTGGCAAGATGTTTCAGGAAAAGCAGCCTTCACCTGGCACTGTGTTATGCACCCATTTGGGTGTGAGTGGCTCTCGGGCTGCACGTACCCACATCAGCTAACCTTAAACGGGGAAGGGAACCCAGGTGTGTGCAGCAGCAGCACGCTGCTCCCGCAGTTCCTGTGCACTGACCTCTGCCACCAAGTCCACCGCGGCCCATGGCACCTCTGCCCAGCCCACCTCTTCCAGGGCCACCGCGACCTCGCAGGCCGCCTCTCCTCAGGCCCATCCTGGGGGACATTCCTCGTCCGCCCCGAAGCATGCTCTGACCTGCAACAGCGACGGGATTCCAGGCAGACAAATTAGCTCGAGACTGAGCAGAGGAACCGGAGCCGAGCCGTCCAACAGGCGGCGTTGCTGCCGGACCAGCCGCGGTACTCACCCCTGAGCGGGAGTCCCCCTCTCAGCAGAGCTCTCGCCCCCCGGCCGCCACGCATGGCTCCTCGTGGCAAACCTCTCTGCCCCATGGCCAGTCCTCTTCCTCCCATGGCTCCGCGAGCGAGGGGTCCTGCCGGACGGCCCAATCGTGCCTGGATGTTGCTTTTACCGAGGCGTTGCTTCAAGCTCTTCTGGAATGAAAGATTTTGAAGGAACAAAGTCATGCAGCAATCTCCGACTTGCGACACAAACAGCATGGCAATTACTTATCAGTAAGTTTTTTTTTTTAAAAAACATACAGGGTCAACAGCTCTCTGCAGCACACAATCGAGCTTCAAACAGAGGACAATCATATCTGCTTCAGGAGGGATAATTTATGAAGGTCAAACCGAGAACAAAGACCTTCCCTGGAAGCAAGTGTTTGTACAGAGACAAGAAAGTCTGCAGATTCAGAAGGAAATATTTTTCTCCATTTTTAGCAGCGCCGCTCGGTCCGAATCAAAGCAGACACTTAATCCGCACGGCAGCCCGCTAATCCTTCTTGCTGGAAGGTTACCGACCGTGAAAACCTCTGAGCTACAAAGCAACCACCCCTGCTGGGAAGGAGCCTGGCCTACCTCACACCAGCACACCGCTCCGAGGGGCCTGCTGCTACAGCCCTGGCCTGGCCACCAAACTAAAACTGTACTGAAGCACCTGACCCTCACAGGAACTGGAAAAGTTATCTTTGTTTATCTGTATTTTAAGGTGAAGTTGTTTTTTTTTCCCCGTCTGAAGTCCTGCAGGTCCAAGCACCAGAGCCCATCTCACAGAGTTGGCATCCCCTGGGACAGCCACAGCTGCTCCAGTCCTCAAAGCCTGCACCAGCCCGGCTGCAAGCACAGCTCAACAGATCCTGAAGCATCAACTGAACTGCCAATTTTACACCCCGGTGTTTTTAACACACACTGGGACCAATCCTGGCTCCACACAGCAGACTACAGCTTCTGCAGGAACTATCGAACCCTGCAACGGGCTGGGGAACAGTGGGGACCTTTAGAGCTTCTTAAGAGCTCTCAGCCCTCAGAAGGTAAGGCACAGAGCCCAGCGGTGTACTACAGCTTTCCAGAGTTGCTTATGCTTCTCATCAGCTTTACAGATCTACTTGACTCAAGCCTGTGGGCAGCTGAAAGGCTCCTCCTGAAAGCAGCCTCCTCTGTAGCTAAGGTTTGAGTTTTACTGCCTCAGAGCTTACTCATTCGCTGTTCTGACAGCCACAGCAGCCTGAGATGTTTGTCTCCCTTCTGCCCAGCCCAGCTGGCAGGAAGGCACGAGAAAGCAGGTGAACGTTTTGCATCCCATTACTCATTTATATTACCATGAGAGTTTAAGATAACTGCTGGATTTTGCCCTGACAAAGGGCAAAGTGCTCACCTTCCTGCCTTACCTCAGCGCAGTAGCACCTTGCTCTGCTGCAGCTATTCACTAAGTGCACGCCTAGAGCCACGACATAAACGCTGTTACTCAGCAAGAGAAGGGAGGTTTATGTAAAGACTGATGTGCTGGGTACAAAGACAAACCCATGAGGCTAGCACACGCAGTGCCCTGCAGGAGTTGAGAGCACTTTTCTGAAGCACAGGTGAGCCATCCCTGGAATCAATGCTCCTCAGCACATCCAAATGGATCAGAAAAGCTCCTGGTGATACCAAGAAGTGCCTGCAAAAACCCTGTCACCACACCAACTCCCAGAGCAACTTACAGTCTTCAAAGAGCAATCCAACACCAATCGGGTTTCCAGATTTCCCTAGAATGCACTTCTGCAGCCCACCCTGGCAGCACTCAGTCCCAGAAGAACGCGAAGTACACCTACTCCTGGCATATGGGTGAAGCTTTTGGCTCAGCTCTTCCCTGTTCTCCTCAATTCAGCAAGCAGAAACGTTATGCTTTCAATCCAGTTTCACTTACCACTTGGGAAATTCTTAAGGTTTGATTTTTTTTTTTTAAAGCAGAAAGTTCTTCAGGCTACCATTTCCAGAGCTTTTGTTTATAAGCTCTGGGAGGCTAACTGGCACCGCAGTCTGTTTTTAAAACAGAACTCTCAAGAGATCTTAAAAAGCAGCTGCATTCCTCTTTATCAGAAATTAAACCCTGAACATGAGCACGTGTGGCAGGTTTAAGTATTCCAGCTATTTAGTGAAGCAGCTCAGCTAACAACTTTCCAGGGCTTTCTCCTGGCATGCAAGATAATACAAAGAATTATATTTAAGCTCTGCTGCAGTCAAGTCATGCAGTGCTGCTATTTAAACTCACTGCACAGCTGTGCAGCACTACCCCACAGGTTCCAACCCATGCCCTATGCACACATTTTAAGCTGATCTTTTCAGCCTTCCCATTTAAATAAAAGCTTTAAGGGTTGCAAAACCCCTTGGCCTGATAAGGAGCAGACAAGGCAAACACCTGTTCTCTACATTATTTTTCACCACTGCCCCTTTTGTAAGCCCACAGCTACAGGAAAGCACGTGGACCGCAGCAGAGAAATCAAAAGCAAGCATGCTTGCTCAAACCTGCTGCTGTACAGAGAGGATACTTTGACAAATATGCCCCACAATCTATAGCATTCATCACTAAAATGGGGAGAAAGACCGTCTGCATGAGGAAAATGCAACGCTATTCCTCAAATCCAGGCCTGCAGCCCAGCATTTGCAAGCAATCAAGCATCAGTTTGTTCATCTGGTCCTCGCAGCCAGCTGCTATCAAGGGAGTGCACCAAGAGAGGGTGGAGTTGGGGATGGGAGCAACCAGCCTCAACTGGACAGTAAGTGCTGGAAACAATCTGCAGCAATTGTAACTGCAGCTACAGTGCGAGATGAAGAACTCTGCAGATCCAGAAACCCAGAATGAGAACATTTCTCTGAAAAAATAGAGAGGAGATATGAACAGCCAGCACAAAAACAACGAGCTCAGTAATATTAACCAGTAAGTTACAAATTATTACTTATCTGGAGTGAGAAACAGATTTTTTCAAGCCCCTTCAAGGTTTCTAGTTTTTAACTTTCAGGAACATTTTTCAAAATCCACCGTATCCTGAAAAGCCATCAGCTGGTGACAGGCATCACCTGGCCACACCACAACACGCCCTTTTCTCTCACCTGTTTAAGCTTCAAAGCAGCCTGGACAGAAGGTCTATTCTCCATCTGCTGGGCCAGTCTTCTGTTTCTGGCACTGGCTAGCTGCTGCTGCTGCTGCATGGTAGCCCGAATATTCACTGGCATCGGCTGTTTGTTCTTCAGCATGTTAGTAAAGCTTCAAGGTCGAATAAAATGGGTGTTTAAATAAAGCTTTATTACATACATTTATTGGCATTTCATGGTTCTCAAGATTGGATCTCCAGATCCCATGAACCTTATGTAAAGAGTGGTACTTAGGTCACATCATATGTGATTACATATTCCTTGTTTTCCACAAGTGTGCAAGAATTGGAAACTCAGAAGTGATGTTGGATATTAATTCAGAAGTGATAAAGCTTTAGGTTACTGATTTTAGAAATGGAAGAAGGAATGAAAACAAGCCATAAGCAGAGATGACCATGACAGATGGAAGAGGACATCACACAAACAGAAAAGCCACGTGAAATCTGACTGCAAAAGCTAAATTAACCCTCAAAGATCTTAGAAACCTGATAAAAAAACTCAATACCACGGGATAGCTTTACAGGAGACATCACCTTGGGGACAGAATGAGATGCCCCTGGCACACCACATAACTGGTGCCTAAGAAATGCCACCAGCTAAGCGCTCTCGCTGATGAGAGCAGTTTGCTTGGCAGTGTTTGTGGTGCACGGAGAATCCTCTGTCTTTAGGAGCTGTATCAGAGCAGAACACAGCAAGACGGTAAGCAGCGTTAGCAGCAACCCATCAGCTGTCTACCCTGTCCTGGGAACTACACAAGTTGGAAAAGAAAACACGGGTAAGGAATAGGGACTGACAAAAATGAAACAGGCCAGCAAGCCTCCTCTGCACTGCACCTCACCACATGCCTTCTCGGGAACAAGCTCCAACTGTTGGCTCAGGCTGGCTCTCACTGCAGCACTTGCCAGAGCACGAAATGCACACAAATGGCTCCATTTTTCCCTGGTTCACTGATATAAACATAGTTAACCAACGAGTGATTAGTAAGAAAGTGAAACGTCACTGTAGCGCCGCTGTTAGTTGTCTGTAGAACTGCAGAAGCACAATGGCATGGAAAAAACGGGAGAATGCTCAACAAAAGAAATAAAGAAATCAGTATCGAGAAAAGAGAGATGGAGATGAAGCAAAGCGTTTGCCTCTTACAAGGCCCAAAACATTGTTAAAGGGCCTTTGGGCTTGTTTAATGGCCTGCTGCATGCCTCTTACAGCCAGACCACATGCACGTGTGTCTGCCTCGGACAAAGCAGCAAGCCTACTGCAGCTCAGGTAACATGCTACCATACCGCAGTGTCAACTATATAAATGTAAAAACATGTGGAAGAAAAAGGGAGGGTGTGAGGTTTCTCTGTTGTTATAACACATCCCGCCATATTTACGTGTTGAGGAGTATAATATTAACTGCTATGGATAAACTGCTCCAAAACAATTGCCCTTTTAACCTTGCGTACCACATTTGTTGCAGTTTAAGACAGAGGTGCATAGCCATCTGCTTGTTTTACTGAGGTTAAAAGAGGGCAGAAACCACGTTGGTTTTTGGACACCGGACAGTGATAATTAAGTAAAAAAATTTCTTATGAGCTGAAGCTGCTGTTGGCTTCCTCACCGCTCGTTCAGAGACATCTTGGTGGTGCTCTTTAGCACAACCTTCGGTGCTGACTGTGCAGCCATCTTCAGATCAACAGAATCTGCAAAACAAGAGAGCCAGATGTAACCAACAGCACGGGGATCTTGCATTTATTCAGCTAAACATTCAAAAATCTGCATTCCAGCTCCTTTGGTACAGAGAATCAAGAAACGGGCAAAAAACTGCGATTTTAATAGCACAATTTTATTAAGTTCTCTAGGCCATTGCCATGATGCAGCAGATTTAATAAATTACTTCGTTATGTTAACTTAATTCTTACTAAATAGACTTCTTTTTAGAAAGTGAAAATTTTTCCTCTGGTAGGTGTAATGCTGCAAAAATACAGCGCGTTGGCAGTCGAGGCAGCCCCTAAACACCTTGCTTAGTACTGCATCTAGCAACGCTGCCACAGTTCCTAAGCTGTTAGTGTAAGCCAGGTGGAAACCCCAATTTATTTTAAGCAGATAATGCCAGGTACTTCGCAATGAGATCCCAAGATTACCCTACAGAAGCGCTATGCACTTTAAAAACATTAATGCTCCATCTCCCCGTGCTACATTACGATTACCACAGCTTGGCTGGCCAGGGACACCCTGTAAATGTGCAGTCCCCTCGGATTTTTGTTATCTAACGCTTCAGCAGGCAGCTCACCCGCAGGCACGATGTGGTTGCCTAGCATGAAAGCGTGCCGCAAGGGGCACAAAAGCAGCGAAAGGATTTAAACCCAGCTGTTATCGATCCTGCGAGCACGGCTCAAGCCCTGGGTGTTTTCGCAGCGACGAACATGAAAAAAACGACGAGAAAAAAAAAAAACAGCACCTCATATTTTATAACCGCCATCAAGCCCAACGCTAACTGCCGAGCGTTCCCCCTCACAATACCCGGCACAGCGGCCTCCTGGCAGGCTTTTACCAACCACCACCGAGTCGTTGAGCTAACACCCGGCTGTTTTTTAACCACCACGCGTTTTTAAGATCCTTTTTTCCCCTCCATCCTCTCGCCACAGCGCGAAGGGCCCGGGGTGTGGGGGGGGAGAGAGGCCGGGCCCCAACCGCCGCCGGGAGCCCTGCCCCGGCCCCGAGTCCGGTCCCGGTTCCCTCAGAGGCTCCCCAGGCCCCCCTTAGAGCCCCCTGAGGGCTCCCCGGCCCCTCAAGGGCCCCGTGCGGCCCCCCCCCCGGCCCCTTTCCGGGCTCCCCGCCCGCCTCCTCAGCGCCCCCCCGGCCTCTCACCGAAGCAGGCGGTCGCCAGGTCCCGGTTGTAGCCGGCTATACCCGGCCGGCGGCGGCTGCTCACGGTTCACGGGACCGGGGCTGGCTCCGTCGCCCTCCGCCCGCTCCCGCCGCCCTCCAGCGCCTCAGCGACAAAATGGCGGCCGCGACCGCAGCGCCCGCCCCCCCCCCTCTTTCCCCGCCGCCCAGCCACGAGCCGGCCAAAATGGCGGCGGCCCCAACAGCGCAGGCGCGGGGTGCCGCCAGCACAGCGCCCTCCGCTATTGGGCGGGGCAGCGCGTTCCTCCTCTCCTATTGGTCAACAGGCGCGGGGTGGGCGGGACCTCTGCCCGTGCTGCGCGGCCGCTGTCGCCCGGGGGCAGGGGCGGTGGCGGCGGGGCCGGGGGCGGGGGGTGCTGCGCGGCGGGGCGCTGCGCGGCGGGGCCTGGCCCCGGTGGGGCGGGGGCGTCCCCAAGGCTCCGTGCGGCCCCGGTCCTCGTCCCCGTGGGGCATCCACCACCCCCCCGAAGCCCCCGTCCTCCCCTTGATGCCCCCGTCCTCCTCCCGGTGCCCCCGTTCCCCCGCCGCCGGTGGGATGCAGGCGTCCCGCTTGCCCCCGGTGGTTCCCGGTGCCTCCGGGCAGCTCCGGGTCTGGCCCCAACGCCGGCGGACGATGGCGCTGGCGGCCCTGCGCCGGGCCGGGCGCTGCCTTGGTGGCGGGGGCCGCTGGGCGAGGCGATAACGAACCGGTTCCTCCGGCCCCACCGGGCGCCCGGACGGCGGGCAGCGAGTCCCGGCCTGCGGCTGCCCCCGGGCCCCCGAACCCCGCAGCCCCGGACGGGTTGGGGGCACTCGACCCGGCGGGGCTGGGCCCGTGGGGGTCCGGGGCTGGGGCCTGGCTCAGCTGGGGACGTCCCCGGGCCCTTGGGTGAACCTGGGGGGTTTGTCCCGGGGGGGGGTCACAGGCAGCGGGACCGGGGAGGGGATCCCGAAGGAGCTGACAACACGCCGCTGGCTGGGTCGGTGCCTTTATTGCGGAGCTGGATCCCCGCGGGATCCCCTGGGTGCGCTGGGGAGTGGGGGGGTGAGGAAGGGTGGCGTGGGGGGCTCTGCGTTTTGGGGTGCCGCGGCTGGCTGCTGCGGGGGGGGGGGGGCTGGGGTCAACCCGGCTCAGGCGTTCTCCCAGAAGAAGGTGTTGCAGGCCACGGTGAGGGCGGCCACCAGGACCACGTACTCCTGGAAGTCCACCTCCCCGTCGCCGTTCTCATCCAGGTCCTGCATGATCTTCTCCACCGCACCCGTGTCCTTCTGGGTCTGTTGGGGGGGGGGGTGACAAAGGGTGAGCCCCAGAGCTGGGGACGTGTCCCAGAGCACAGGAGGAACAGGGGGAGCCCATCTGCCGTGCCCCAGCACAGCCCCTACCTCCAGGAAGCAGCCCAGCTCGCTCTGCAGCAGCTCCTTCAGCTCCTTCTTGCTCAGCTTGTACTTGTCCCCCTCTTTGCCCGAGTAGTGGTGGAAGACGTTGATGAGCGTCTCCATGGCCCCTTCCAGCTGTGACGCCATGGTTCCAGGCTGCAGGGAGGCACCTGCTGCGTTACGGCGGCCGCTGCGAGCCCCCAATTTCAGTGCCCCCCTTCCCCATCCCAGGAGCATTGCCCACCCCACCCTCCCCATCTTGGTGCTACGGGACTGTGGGGTGCCCTGGTGCTCCCCCTAGGCTTTATTGGGGTGCTTCTGCAGGAGGGGACCCTGCCTGCGTGCCCCCTTTATAGGGTCAAACCCCGGTGGGTGCCCACACTCCGTCCCCAGCCCCGCACTCACCTGAGCTCCCCGCTGCGCCAAGTGTGCCGGGCTGGGCCAGCTGGAGACGTTAAATAAGCTCCAAGCCCCCTCCCTCCGGGAGGATCCGATACCGGGGCTGGACAGCCGGGCTGGCACCGCCGGGACGCCCCGCGCTGCCTTCATGGGGGCCGGGATGCGGGGACGCCCCGCCAGCCCCACTGCCGCCCCATGGCCTGCTCACCCTGCACCAGAGGGCTGTGCTGGAGCATCCCTCGGTGCTTACGGGGCATGGAGCTACTCTTGGGGGTCCACATCTCCCTTGTGCCAGACCTCAGGCGTCCCTTTTTGCACCCCTGAGGCCAAAGCTGGCCTGGCTGCAGCCCTATAGGAAGAGCAGCAGTGGGGTGCTGGGGAAGGGGTGGGCTGTGGGGCCAGCCCCGGGTTGGATCCTGACCCCAGGGGTGAGCTGCCGGCATCCCCCATCCTTCAGCACCGCGGTGCCAGGCCGGATCCGGCCCCAAGCCCCGCTCTGTGGCCGATAACAGCGCGGGTGTCCGGTGTCCTCGGAGCTGGGCGGGGGGGACCAGCGGGGGCTATCGGGTGACTTGGCGTGGGCCCCCCCGCTCCCCGTGCACAGAAAGGCCTCTTGTCGCATGAAAAATGCCCCACAATCCCTGCCCGAGGTTGCCTCAGCAACGGCTGCGGCCAAAGAAACCAGATTCCCCGGCCGCGCTGATAATCCCGGCTCTCGTTACGGCCCAGCATCCGCGCGGCCCGGCCGTGCCCGCTGCGGCCTCCCCATCCCCACGCGGCCCCCCAGGAGCGGGGCCGGTGCCAAGCCCCCAAATGGGGCCGGCCGGGACGATCCCCCCGCTTAGTGCCCCCAAGGGAGCAGGGGGGCTGCCGGGTGCTGTCACTGCAGCGTTTTCGCAAGAGCCGCGTGGTGCCGGGCTCTTTATCCCAGATTCCAATCCTTGTTCGGGGCTAATTATATCCCGCTGCCTCCGTTTCCATTTTCCATACTTCCTGTCCCGTGTGTTTGGGAAATAATGCAGCCAGGGGGTCCCAAAAGTGCTGTCACCCCCCCAACCCTGGCTTGGTCCCATGGGGAGGCAGACCCACCATGGCCCTGTCCTGGGGGCTGATGGCATGGAGGGTTTTGGGGTGAATTAGGAGCATCTTTGGGGGCTGCACCTGGTGCTATTGGGGTGGCCACAAAAGGGGTCCTGGATGGAGATGGGGATCCCGGGTGGAATTTGGGTCCCAGACGGAGGTAGGGGGTCTGGATGGAGATGAGGGGTCCTGGAAGGAGCTGGGGCTCTAAGATGGAAGTGGGTGTTCCAGAGCTGGGGGTCCTGGATGGAGATAGGGGACCAGGATGGAAGTGGGGTTCCCAGATGGAGGTGGGGGTCTCGGATCGAGGCAGGGGGTCTGGATGAAAGGGGGTCCTACAAGGAAGTTGGGTTGCCAGATGGGGGTGAGGGTCCTGGCAGGAGGTGGGGGTCCTGGGCAGAGGCGGGGGACCCCAGTGTCACTCACTTGGCAGTGTCCACACAGGGGCTGGCAGCGGTGGCACCCCCGTACCCGTCTCAGCACGGCTCGGCAGCGGGCAGGATCTGGCCGAGCCTTCCGGGAATGCCCGGCCCCGGCACTGCACCGCCTGCCCAGCTGCTCCGTGACGGTCCCGAGCTTAAAAATAACCCGGGCCCTGCCCCGCAGACACCGGACATCGGCACGGTCGGGTGCTTGGAGCGAGCTGGTGGCTGTTTCACGGCCATTTCACGGCCACCAACTTGCTCCAACCCCTGGATGAGCCAAGCTCTGTGCGCTTGGCCAGGCTCTGCCCCACTCTCATTAAACCCCAAACCTCCCCGGAGAGCAGGAATCACCGGGTGTTTCCCCAAGCGGTGGGACCGCCTGGAGCCACGAACCCCGCTGCTGCGGGGACATCACAGTGAGGGGGGGTTTGGTCCCAGGAACGGGGACCGCAGCGGTGCCAGCCCGACGTGTCCGCACTGGCAGCTCCCCAGGACAAGCTCTTACCAAACCGGGAGCAGCGAGGGACATGCCAGGAGGTTTACACACAGCTTGGAACAGGTTTCAGCCTCTGCGACTCCCCTGCTCCACTTTGACCCAGCTAAACCAGTTGCTCCAGTTGCTGGTGCCGGGGCTGGGCTTGATCTTGTCTCTCCGACCCATCGCTGGAGTATGGAAGAGGCTTTTCCATCCCTAGAGTTTGGAAGAGGGGGAAGCTGCTGGGTGTGCACCGTGTCAGGGTTGGGGATGTTGTGGTGGCACCAGGCACGCGGTGTGGTGGCCTTTCCTACCGTGGCCTCGATGGATGGGGAGCGTGATGAGTCCTGATGGACGGTGTGGACCAGTGCTGGGCCAGTGCCCCCAGTGCCCACAGCCACCGTGAGCACCCCTGGTAGAGCAGAGAGAGGTCGGGGACAGCACCAGGACACGGCGACAGGCACCAACAGCCTGCCCCGGGGCGCTCGGCTTGTCCCGATAGCGCCGGGGACCCCGAGGCCACGTCACCGCTCCCTGCCCGCGCATCCATCCCATCACGGGGCCGCTGCACTGCCTGCTCCTTCCTCACCCCATCCCGGCACCCCGAATTCCAGGGGCGCCGAGTCACGGGCCCGCCTGGCTCTTGGGGCCGGTGACTCACCCCAAACCTGTCCCTGTCCCTTCCGAGCCTGACTCACCCTGGCGGTTTCCCATCGCGGTCCCCTGACGTGGGGCTCGGCGGAAGTCCCGTCCCCGTCCCCCTGTCACCCCGGGGATGGGGACGGACCGGATGGGGCTGCAGGAAGCCAATTCCTCCCCCGTGAGCTGGTGTGACGGGTGCGCGGGTGGGGACCGGGCTGCCCGGTGCCGGCCGGAGCCACCCTGTCCCCCGTGGACAGGTGGAACAAATGCGTCAGGGACAGGTGACGGTTGCATCGCACCCTGCTCCTGGTCCCCAAAACTGGTGATGGGGACTGGTGACTGGGCTCCCTGGGTCCGTCCCTGTCCTATCCTTGCTCCCCGTCACGCTCGATGTCACCCAACTTTGGGGACAACCCTGGCTGTGCACCCCAGCCGAGGCAGGGACTGGGGGCAGTAGCAATTAGGGCCGTGCTCCCGGTGGGGACGGTCCCAACACCGCCCGTGTCCCCTCCATCCCATGCCACCGGTGTCCCCAGTGCTGTGACATGGGGACAGCTCGGGGGCCCTGTGGGAACGGCCGTGCCGCAGCGGACACCTGCCAGGGCTGCCATGTTATAAATACCCAGGGATTAAAGGGGAGCGCTCGGGCAATCCCAACCCCCTAATTAATTTGGATTAATTAATTTTCACAAAGCCCACTATTAATAGGGATGATGTCAGCGGGTGGCTGAGTCACAACTCTCACTCGGTGCAGGGTGAGCCCAGCCCTGGCTCCGCAGCCGGGACGAGCTGCGGCATCGGGGGACGATGGGGACAGCGGTGGGGACAGCGATGGGGACAAAGTTCCCGTCCCCGGTGCATCCCCATCCCCGCCGGGGCAGGGCAGAGAATGGGATGCATTTAGGGGAGGGGACATGGCCTGCACCCCTGGAATGATCCAGGTGGTGTTTGAGCCCCAGACCCCGTGGAGTGAACGTGCTGTGGGACCCCAGGGTCCCATCCTGCGCCCCCACGGCACGGTGCGGACACGGGGTTTGTGCCGAGCGCTGGGTTTGGGCCGCTGCCCATGAGGGGAGGGAGGAGACGGGAAGACGGGAAAACGTCGGCTGCCGGGCGGTGTCCGTGCGCCTGGCTGCAACGGGAAACCCTACACCGCGGCCGGGGGGGACAAAGCGCTGCGCTCGCCCCGTATAAAACCCCGCGGGGGGCTGCAGCCACCCGCAGCCGAGCGGGGTAAGTCGGGGTCGCTGCCTTGTCCCCATCCCGTCCCACGGCGGTGTTTGGGGCCTGCACGGTGCCACTGCTTCCTGGTGTCCTGCTGCCCTGCCTGCCTCTGTTTGTGGGATGGCAGGGCTGTCCCCAAATGGCCGTGCCCTCCCCGCAGTGATGCTGGGGGGTTGGGAGGGGGGGTCTGGATCCCTAGTGCGTAACGGGGCAGCCCCCAGCTGCACTGGGACTCGGCTCTGCAGGGCTGAGGCTGTGCAAACTCGCTGCACCCCGGGCTGGGGAAGGGTGGGGGGTCCCTTATCCCACGCAGCCCCCTCCAGCCATCACATTCCCGAGATGCTCCATCCCCTCCCACCCCCTTCTTGGCTCTGCAGCCCCCAGCCTCCCCCCGGCACGCCATGGCCACGGGCGAGCTGACCGAGCTGGAGCGGGCCATCGACACCGTCGTCACCGTCTTCTTCACCTACGCGGGGAAGGAGGGCAGGAAGGGGACGCTGACGGCCGAGGAGTTCAAGGAGCTGGTCCAGCTCCAGCTGCCCAACCTGATGAAGGTGAGGGTCAGGGCAGCGTGAGGGGGGGGGAGGGCTGGGGGGGCTGGGTGGTTCCCACGGAGCCCCCCAGCGCTCAGCGACTGCTCCGGGTACCCTGGGGTTTGCCAAGGGTGGAAAAGCAAAAGTAAAAGTGGAATTTGGGTGGTGCAGGAAGGGTCCAAGCTGCTGCAGGTGGAGGTGTTCTGCTGGTGGGGGGGCGGAGAGGACTGATGCTGTCTGTCTGTCCATCCATCTGTCTGTCTGTCCCTCCCATTACCCCTTTCTGCACCACCCTCAGCTGGGCTGGGGGCTCCTTGCCACGGGGGATGCCCCTCACTTGAGCCCTGTTTGGGGACAGGGATGGAGGTGTCCCCTGGTGGTGGCAGCCCTGGCTCTTCCATCCCCACCCTGCTCACTGGGGACCCTGTGGGAGCGCTGAGCCCCCCCTGCCCTCCCCACAGGACGTCCCCTCCCTGGAGGAGAAGATGAGGGAGCTGGATGTGAACAACGACCAGGAGCTGAAGTTCAACGAGTACTGGCGGCTGATCGGCGAGCTGGCCAGGGCCATGCGGAGGGAGAAAGCGGAGAAGAAGAAGTGACGGGGACGGGGGGACACTTGGGTGACACGATGCTAATAAAAGAGGTTTCCCCGAGCATGGGCATCGCTGCCGTTCTTAGCGGGAGGCCCCGGTGCGAGCAGCCCGTCTCCCTGCTGGGTCCATCCGTGCCACGAGCAGATGGGGACGTTCCCAAAGTGCCCTGGTGCTGGTCTGGCTTGCAGGGACCCACCCCAAACCCTGTGGGGTCACGCAGAGCAGCCCCAATGGGTGGCAGAAGGCATCTGGGGCTGGCGGGGGGCTCAAGACCATCTCCAGCATCTCGTGATAGCTGCGGGTGGTGGCCACCTCCAGGACACCAACATCCGTCCGCTCCAGGGTCACCTGGGGATGCGTCCCCTCAATAAACCACACGCCAGGCTCAGCATCCCCAGCCGAGCCCCCGGCCCTGGCGTTCAGCTCCCACGTCCCCCAAGAAGGCTGGGTGGCGGTGCCATCCCCTCGGCGGGGTGACGGGTGCCCTGTCCCCGAGCCAGCCGGTGCCCGGTGGCCGTTCCCACGCGGCGCTGCGTGGCCGTGCCGTGCCGGATGGGGATGGGGAGCGCTCGGTGTGGCCGGGAAGGAGGCGTTTCCCAGCCCCACGCTGGCCCGGGGCCAGGCTCCGAAATGAGCCGCCTTGCACCACACCGTGCGCAGGGAGCTCCCACTCACACCTCCCTGGTATAAAACCCCGGTGCACCGCAGCCCGCTCATACCCGGGACAGCCCTCGGAGCAGGTAAGTGGCCTGGCCGCCTCCACGGGGAGGGGGTCCCCGTGCCTGGGGGTCTCACCGCCCCCGCTTTGCTCCCACGCTTGGCTTTGCCACGACTTGCTGCTGGAGCAGGGACGCTCCCATCTCCGGGACATGTCCCGGCAGCTCAGCGCATCCCAGGGCGCCTTCCTCGCCCCGACGCAGACGGAGGGGAGCCCCCCCCAAACAAGCAAGAGCTGATCCCGACTTTCTCCCCTCCCCCACCAGCTCCCCAAGACCCCGTCGGAGCAGACAGCCCCACCGAGGGACCCTCAGACCCCGCAAGGAGCAGCATGGGCCAGTGCAACTGCCGCAAGAAGCGCAAGGTCCTTGAGCGATGCCGCGGCACCGGGAGGGCCGGGAAGCCGTGGGGCATGGGGGGGGACCCCATGCGTCCCCCATCCCTCGGAGCATGGGGTGCCTCTGAGCAGTACGGCAGGGGCCGAGGGCCACCCCTAGGATGAATTTGGGGTTCGGAGACGCTGCCCCGGGCTTGGGCACCTGGTGCCGGGGGTTTGAAGGCTTGGGGAACCCAGGCGGCTTTCTCCAGCTCCTGCTGAGCCTGCCCTGCTCCTTGCAACCTCTCCGAGGATGCCCGATGTCAGAAAGTCTCCTGCTTCCCTCTGCTTTCAAACTGGAGGCACCCACCCCGTGTGTCAGGGGGGGGTCTCACTGGGCGCTTTGCACCTGCGGAGGATTTGGGGCCGGGGCGCGGGGCTGAGGCTCTGAAGATTGCCGGTTTCTTCTCTAATGGCCATCGCCTGATGTGGTTTAAAGGTGTTTCGAGGGGAAACCACAGCGCCGGGTGAATCACCGCCGTTTCCCTTCAGATCCAGCTTCGCTTAATTAGCACGAGTGGTCGGGCAGCTGCGTCGGGCCGGGTCGAACCCCCCAAGGCTGGGGCTGGGGGTCTGCAGCCCCCGTGGGATGGGAGGAGGGCGGCCACCAACCCGCCGTGCGCCCGGGCACTGACTCACACCTCCATCTGCCGCTTGTGCAAAGGAGAGGAAGAACCAGTCCGGACGGCGGCGGCGGCCCCCGCGCCGTGGGTGTAGCGCCCGGAGACGCTGGGGCGGCTGGGCAGGGAGAGACAGGGGGGACAGACCTGCCGGGGGGGTCGTTTTGGGGTGTCAGTGGCCGCACAGAGGGGTGTTGTGACCGTACGGAGGGGTACGGCGGCTGTGTGAGGGTATTGGGGGCGTGCAGGGCCTGGAAGGAGGGGTCTTACATCTGGAAGGAGGGGTCCTGCATCTAAAAAGAAGGGTCCTGCATCTACAAGGAGGGGTCCCACATCTGTGTTGGGGGGTCTTGCGTCTGTCCAGGGGGTCTCACAGCAGCGTGGAGAGGTCTTGCGTCTGTACGAGGGTCTCAGGTGTCTGCAGAGGGGTCAGCATCCATACGAGGGGTCCCACGTCTGTACGAGGGGTCCCATTTCTGAACGGAGGGGTGTTGTGTTGATAAGGAGCTTTATTAAATCAGCGTGGGGGGGTGGAACATCTACAGGGAGCGTCGGCACATCTGCCTGGGGGTGTCGCATCCATCCCAGGGGTGTCCCATCATCCATCCCGGGGGTGTCCCCTCCATCCCGGGGGTCATCCCTCCATCCTGGGGGTGTCCATCTGGTACCTCACCATCTCTCCCCCCCCTTGCAGGACTGCCAGGAGCTCACCGACGTGGAGCAGGCCATCGAGACCGTCATCAACCAGTTCCACTGCTACGCCGTGAAGGGGCAGAAGGAGTACCTGACCCCCAACGAGATGCGGGAGCTGGTGGTGCAGAAGCTGCCCCACTTGGGCAAGGTGAGGGCAGAGCCTGGGGACAGCGAGGGGGGTCCGGGTGGACGCGGGACCCCGCATCCCCATCACCCCCCTGATGATTTTTCTGCCCGCCCCGCAGTGCGTCGGACCGCTGGATGAGAAGATCGAGTGCATGGGAGACCCTGACGAAGCCAAACTGGAGTTCGGAGAGTACTGGGACATGATGGGGGACGCGGCCAAGGGCTGCCGGAGGAAGTAGAGGGCATTGGGGGACAAGAAGGCGCCCGAGGCCTCGGGCTCTGCACCGCGATGAGGTCCCGGCGGCTGCGTGGTTGCAGGTCCCCCGGCCCCGGAGCGTCGCAGCGAGAGGGACTTTGCTCCTTTCCCCCCCCCCAAATCCCTTCGATGTGGGGGCTCCGGGCCAGCCCCGATGTCGCCGTTGGTGGCCTGGGCATAGTTTCTGCTCCCACCCTCCTGGACCGGGGGCACGATGCCTGCGCTGCTCAGGTTTTGGGGTGCTGCGCCTGCGCGAGGCTCCCCACCTGCCCCTGGCTGGCAGCCGGGCTCGGGGCTGAGCTGGTGGCGGGTTGTTATCAGCTTGCGTCACTTGCAACCATTTTTGTATAAATTAATAAAGGAAAAATGGAAAAAAAAAACCACAAACAAACACAGCCAGGATGGGGTGACCTTGTTTTTCGGGGGAGAAGGGGGAGCAGGGAGGGATGGGACTGTGGTGCTGAGTGAGCATCGCTCGCTCCTGGGTTGTGCAGCCCCAGTGTGGAGCACGAGGGTGCAAGGGGTGCTGCAGGTGTGCAAGGGGTCCTACAAGTGTGCAAGGGGTCCTAGAAGTGTGCAAGGGATCCTACAAGTGTGCAAGGAGTGCTGCAGGCATCCAAGGGGTGCTGCAGGCGTGCAAGGGGTACTGTGGGCATGCAAGGGGTGCTGCAAATGTGCAAAGGGGTGCTACAAGTGTACACAGGGTTGCATGTGCGTGTACACTGTGGGTGTGCACAGGGCTGTGGGTGTGCAGGTGCCCATGCAGTGGCATGCCCCATGCCCGTGGTCTCCATCTGGCGACCCCACAAGCACAGCAGGGCTGTGTCACCTGCACCCTGAGGGATTTGGGCACGAGGGAGCCCAGAGGAGCCCTGAAATCTCTGGGTTTGGAAACAGCCGGGAGCTGTGGGTCCAGTGAACAGGATCCCACCTGGGCTGGGTGAGCGTGGGATTTCCGTGTAATTGCAGCAAATTAGGAAACAGCAAGTGCCACAAAGCGGTGGCTTCCTAGGACGGAGCAATTAGCGCAGGCAACGAGAGCTTGGAGAGTGAAGAAATGAGTTGGAGAAGGTGTAGGGCACCCACCAAGCCTGGCCATCCACCTTTCCTTGCCATGGTCCCATCCAGGTTGTGTGGGACCATGGTTTCTGCTGAGCTCCACGTCCTCGAGGAGCCCGTGGGCAGCCCTACATGGGGACAGGGATGGGGACAGGGATGGGGATGGGGATGGGGTCCCTAATAGGTGCAGGGGGTGCGGGCACCATCTCCACACCTCTGTCACCATGCACTTTGTGCTCTGGGGAGACAAAACGACGAAAAACCCCAAACCCTGGAGAAAAGTGATGAAACCTGAGGCCAGGCTGGGTGGCCGGTCCTCCCAGGCTGGCGGCCGGCACCGCCACCGCGACTCGGCCGCGGCCGCCCTCTGTCTCCTCTCACCTTGGGGTGGATTTCACAACGAGAATGACTATTTATTGTTCCTGCCTTGGAAATAAATACATGGAAATTAAGCCGAGAGGTGTGGTGTGCATTTAATTAGAGACAGGAAATGTGTCAAATGGTTGGGGTGATGGGAGGGGAAAGGGGAGCCAGGGCTCCTGGGTGCTCTCCCGGCCGTGGGAGTGGGGACTCCAGGCTTCTGGTTTGGCGACCCCAGCGTGACGATGCGCTGTCGGGAGGACGGCGATTCCAGCGGCGTGAGCCATCCTTGATAAGTATCTGTTGGACCTGGAAAGTCCTCGCAGGTGGCAGAAAACAGCTCAGCCCGCGCCGGTGACCCTCGGTGACTCAGCGGTGGCTGGGCATGCGTGTGAGCCACACGGCGAGCCCCGAGAAACGCAGCGGGGCTGGTGGCTGCCGTGCGCAGGGGCACAGCGGGGTTATTTCGGTCCCCAAAAGCCTCGTTGGGCCCCCTCTGCAGAGGGTCCCATAGGGCAGAGCCCGCCAGCAAGAAGCCCAGCTGCCCCTTGCCTTCCAGCTGGTGGGACGGGGGGCAGAAGAAGCTTGTGGGGACAAGCGGGCTGGCTGGGAACTGTCTTGTGATGGGTTTGGGCCCTACGTGGCTGCTCCGAGCGCACGCATACGCCCTTGGATGCCTTGTAAAAATAAGGGCCTGGATGCGGTTGTGACATCTGCCAGGTACAGGAGGGTAATGAAAGCCCATGATTCAGAGGTGAGCTGTTTGCCTGCAGGGTCGGGGAGGGATTCCCACCCTCCTGGGATATTGCAGCAATGACACCCGAGCACCTCTGCCGAGGTGCTTTTGCTTCCTTCCCCCCGAGATTAGGAAGAAGAGGGCTGAGAGCGGGGATGACACACGCACTTTTTCCGGGACTGGTGTCCCAAAGAGCAAAGGTCCCCAAAGAGCAAAGGAAAAAGCGTGGGTGGCTCCTGCCTGGGCTCCATCACCTCCTATTTTGCATCCCTAAATGTGCAGCTCCCCAAACCTCCTGTATCTAATCTGGGCATCACATCACCGCGCCATTGCTCCGGCCGACACACAGGGGTACAATTTACTGCCCGATTAATTATGGATGTGAGTTTACAAGCACAGCTACCAGCACCTTATCTATCCCCGTGTATCTGGAGATGGCTGAGAGCTGGATACGGCCCTGCTTGGGGCTGGCGCTTGTGCTTCCAAGGCCCCGATGTAGCAGAGACCACAAGGTGCTTTCACAGCACTGCCTTCAGAATGAGCAAATTTGGTTCAAATAAATACTACTCCCCACCTTGCCATGAACCTCTCCCACCATGCTGGGGGAAACATGGGGCTGGGAGAAACAGCGTGCCTGGGATGGGGGGGTCCTTGGGCTGGCTCCCATGCGCCCATCGTCACCCCATGGCCATGGGGTGGGGGCTGCGGCCGCTGCGCCCCTGCTCTGCAGGGCCAGGTGTTGCAATCAGCCCGAGCTGCTTCCAGGTGAGCCCCGGCCTGGGAACGCCCTGGGAACGTCAGGGAGGGGCGGGAGCCTCTTTAAAACCCGTCTGGGCCCAGGGCATGGGTGCAAGGTGAGCGGCGAGCGGGCGGCACCGGCTCCCACTGCCTCTGCTGCCAAAGGCGGTGACAGACGGACAAAGCGGGACCCACAGACGGGGCCAGGTAAGGCGCCGAGCCCAGGATGGGAAAATCGGCGCCTGCTCCCATGGGGGGGGGAACGTTCAACCGGGATCCATGCTGGGACGTGCGGCCGCAGGTTGGGTGGAAATCCCCCGAGCCCTTCGGCAGCTCCGCGCGCGCGGGGCTGGGGTGGAGGGGATGGAGAGCTTGGCAGGGGGGGCTTGTAGGGGGCTGGCCCCCAGGAAGGGGAATTCTCCCCCCTGATGCACCAACTGCGATGCCAGGGCCATGGGTTGGAGCTGTGGGAGGAAGGAGAGGGAGAGGAGAAAGCAGAAAAGGGAACCATGGCGGCAGGAGCGGAGCAGTCGACGAGCCCCGTCTTGCCTTCCTGGCGTCCCCATGCCCCAGTGTGGTGACAATATCCCACTACGGGTCCCTCACCATGGGGACGAGGTCCCTGAGCCCCAAACTGTCCCCAGGGGTGCATGGCAGGGATGGTGCCGTGAGTCAGCGGGGAAGCAGGAGCTGTGGTGCCCCGAGGACGGGCTGGGTGCAGGCGGCTGGGGATGGGGGACCCCAGCGTGGGGTCTGCACCTGGGGGGTGCAGGGGATGGGCGTGCTGGGGTCTGGTTAATTTGTGGTGGTATTTAATGACCAAGGGCAGGGAGGGGATGGAGATGAATGTCTGTGGTGAGTGGCTCTCGTGGGGACGTGATGAGCGTTGCTGCTCACAGCAGGGCCTGCTGCCAGCACTGGGTCCCCCTTCAAAACCCAGCCCCAGCCCGGGGAGTGGGTGGCACAGGGCTGTGGCACCACGGGATGGCAAAGGAATGGGGATGGCTCCTGGGCACCCTTCTGCCACGAGGAGCACCTCATGTCCCTTGTCACCACCCTGATGAGCCACCATCCTCAGTGTGGGGCTGAACTGGAGACGCTGGGTGCAGAGAGAGGTGGATTTGGGGTGCAGGGGAGCCAGGCTGGAGCTGGGGATGGCAATGAGCCACCCCTTGGGGTGGATTCCTCCAAGGCTGGTCGGCGTTGCACCCAAGGTGTAAATGTTGGTGTAAATCAGGATTTCAAGAAGGAGCGGCAGCGCCGTGCCCCAGCTCGCCCCGAGCCCCTGCTCCGTGCCCCGGCTGGGGCAGGAAAGAGCCAAGGCCGGACGAGGCGACGCAGTTCCCGTCCCCGCCCGTGCGCATCCTGCCCAGGACGCGGATGCTGGACCCCGTGACGGTCACCGTCCTGTTGGGTTCCTCCAGAGGAAGGGGCTTCCTGGCTTGGAGCAGCCGGGGGGGTGCAGAACAAGGCTCGGACGCCCCGTTCGCAGGCAGGGTAGGAGCATGGGATTTGGGGAAACCCTTGGCTGACGGGGCCCAGACCTGCTCGGTGGGACGCCCCAGCCCAAGAGCCCCGCCGGGGTGTTCCCGGCGCCGTGAAGCAAGAGGAAGGCCGGCCGGTAATTCCTGCCCTCGTGCCGCCGCCGTGCGCCTGCTCACCCGCCGCTCCCAGCCCCATTCCTCCCTAATGAGCCCTGGGAACCGGGCGCCGCGGTCCGGGTGCTGCGGGGCCCTGGCGCCATAATTGCCTCCCCATCCCACGCGCGGGGGCGGCCGCCCCGGGGGGGCAGGCGGGGCAGGTGCTGCCTTTTTGGGGTGATGCAGGGAACTGGGTACCCGGCTTTGTGCCGTCCCATGGATTCCTCTCTCCTCGTGCGCCCTGATGGCACCGTGAGGCTCGCGGGTGGCCTGGTGACCCCCGTCCTTGACAGCCTCCCCCCAACCCTGGTCCCTGCAGGTGACCGCGGGCGGCGATGGCAGACTGCACAGAGCTGGAATGGGCCATCCAGGTGCTGGTGAACAACTTTGACAAGTACTCGAGCCGCTGCTGCTGCCGGAAGCCGCGGCGCATCAGCAAGAAGGATTTCCGCAGGATGCTGAGCTGTGAGCTCAACCACATGCTGACGGTGAGGCTGGGCAGTGCGGGGACACGTGGGGGCCAGCTCCTGCCGCACATCTGGGGTCCCCCCCACCTTGCACCCCCATTTCCTCAGCACCAACATCTCCGCTCTCTCCCGCAGGACACCGGGAACAGGCGGGCGGCCGACAAGCTCATCTGCGACCTGGATGAGAACAAAGACGGGCGCATCAGCTTCGAGGAGTACTGGACCTTGATAGGCGGCATCGCCAGCCCCATCGCCCACATCATCCGCCAGCAGGAGCAGAGCATCAAGCACACCAAGTAGCAGGCTGCCCTCCCCGCCCGGACCCCCCCGGGCTCAGCCCCTGCTTCTCCACGGCCCCCTGCTTCTCCCCTGCTGCCGAGCCCCTGCTTGTCCCGGAGCATCCCAGCCTCCTGCGGCTTTGCCGGGGCAGGCAGAGCCAGTGTGATGGAGCGAAGGGGTGTGAGGCTGGCACGGGGGGGCTCCTCCTCGCCCCATCCCTGCCCTCCTCCTCCCCCCTCGGAGTGTCCCATCCTTGCTGGGATGCTGGGTGAGAAGCACAGGGAAAGGCTTCCCCGCATCTAGGGCATGAATGCTGTCTGTTCTCAGCCCTGCTGGGAGAAACCCCACCGCAACCGGCACCCCCTCTTCCCGCGGAGCCCCCTTCTCCCCATCACCGTGTCGGGATCTCCCTGGGGAACGGGCTTGCCCCTGTCTTTCCCCCCGCCCCAGCTGGTGAAGGGTCTGCCCTGCCTGCTCCTTCGGGCTCGGTGCGCCTGGGCAAGGCCGTGCGGTTATTTATTGCAGCAATAAAGTTTGGAGGAGCAGCGGGGGCACGCTGAGGCTGGCCTTGTGGGGAAGGGGTGGTGGTGGTGGTGGTGGGGGAGGACGGAGGATGGGGTCTGCCCTGCCCCTTGTCACCCAGTAACGCCCGATTTGGCTCGCCCGGTGCCTGGGGCTGCGCGCACCACCGCGAGGTGTCAGCAGACACCGCGACACCCCCGGCGCGTCTGTCGGGTGCTGCCACCGTGCGTCCCCTTGCAGGTCCCCGAGCAGCCTCGGATCACGGCACCCCCAATCTGTGCACCCCAAAGGCACGGCCACCCCGGGGACCCCCAGCCCCGCGCTGCGCCTGGGTGCAGCTCAAACCCTGCTGGGGACGGGGACGCTGCGCACCCGGGGCCATCCGTGCTGACATCGCTCCGCGACGCCCACGGCGCTGGCGAGGAGCCCAAACCCTCTGCCTGCTGGGGATTTTCCACCGGGAGGGGATTTGGCTGCAGGGCTGCGAGTGGGGACGTGTCCCCTGAGCTCCCCCGGGGGTGTCCCCGCGCCCCCCCCCCCCCCCCCCGTGTCCTACAGCATGTGGGGTGGCAGCACCTCAGAGCCGGGACCCCCGTTCCCATCCAGCCCCCCACTCCTCTGGGCATCTCCAGCTCCCACCTCCTCCCTGTCCCCCCACAATGCAGCTCCCCCCTTCTTGCCACGCAGGACTGGGGTCCCAGGGTGGGTTTTGGGGTATGGCGGGTGGGTTTTGGGGTACCCCGTGGGAGCCGTTGCCGTCGGGCAGGGCCGGGGCTGAGTCACGGTGCAGGAATCCCGCTGGGGCGAGGGCAGGGCCGTGACTCATGGTGCTGGTTGCGGGGCTGGGCTGGGCGCTGTGCCCGGCTGCCTGCACGGGATCCCAGTGCCGCAGCGGGGTGGGGGGCATCCGGCCCCCAATGCCCCTGTTTTGGAGGCAGAAGGGCTGTGGTGCGTAGTTAGGGCTGTCCCACTGTGCTTCGTGGATGCTTCCCTGTGTGGGCAGGGGTGCTTTGTGCGCGACAGCTGCACCCCGGGGTGCTCCTCCTGGAAAGCCTCGGGTGCTTTGGGTGGCACCATACGGCAGGCGGGGAGGGGAACGATGAGGACAGGGCTGCCAGGCTCCACAGCTGGTCCCCATTTAGGGACCACGTTCCCGTCCCCGTGTCCCCAGCAGCATCAGCCGCGGGCAGCCTGTGCCTGCTGCACCCCCAGCCTTGAGGCACCCATGGGTGGCAGGAGGGTCCTGGAGGGTGAAGCTGACCCCGAGCACACACACCCACACCCACCAGGAACTCCTCAGCTCCGGCTCTGCCAGCCCCAGGTGCTGGGTGCGTGCCCGAGGCCACCGCAGGGCAAGGTGCCAGCGCAGGTGGCTGCGGTTCTTGCCCCTTCTTGGGAAATCAGGGCTTGGCCAGATCCGTCCTCCTGCCCCTGGGTGGCCAGGGCCTGTCCCTGGCATGTTTTGGGGTCTGTGGGACCCACCCTGTTCCCCTCGGGGACAAGCACTGCCAGGCTGTCACAAAGGTTGGCACAGCCCTAAGGATTTGCAAGACTCCAGAAAAAGCCCCAAATGTGTGTTCCCTGCGGTCCTCTCCAGCCACCAAATCTCGGAGGAGGAAGACCTCCAGAGCTCAGCAGAAGGCATCCAGGAGGACCTCAGAAAGCAAAAAGCCCCCCAGAAGGACCCCAATGGAGGAGAAGGGTGGCTGGGGTGGTCCTAGGGCTGTCCCCCCTAAGTCCCCACCCCTGGGGGCAGGGCTGGGAGAAAAGTCCAGGCTGTGGAGACACCACCAGTGACATCTCCTGGCCAGCACCCAGAGCAGGGAAAAGCCTCCCCTGTCCCCATGCCAAGAGCCGTATGGGCTCCAGGAGCTCTGCACAGCCCCCCGAGCAGACCACCGCCGCTGTCACCCCGTGCAAGCACTCAGGGCAGGGGGGTGACAAGTGCCAGCTGAGCTGGTGGAGCTGCCCAGCCCCACGAGCTGAGCCCCACCAGCACCCTCACGCCTTTCCCCGCTGCCCAGAGAGATGTGAGGCTGGGGCTGGGCTCTCTCCCCCCCCCCCAAAATGGGCTCCCCATCTGCCCAGGCCACCCGGCTATGGTGATGCCCACCTGTGCGGTGCCGTCCCTGACCCCGCCATCCTCCCCCTGCGCCGATGGAGGACCCGGAGGGCGAGGAGGACGACGCGGTGGACTTCAGGCGGTCCTCTGGCTTCTTGGGCTGTCTCAGCGTGCTCTGCAGTGACATCTGGGCCGATGCCTCCTGCCCCGCTGAGCCTCAGCTTGTGGTACGGATAAAACCGGTGCTGCCTCCCCAGTCCCCAGTTCGTTTGCGCTGGTTTGTGCTGGGGAGACTGGGGCCACTGAGCAAGCGCCCAGAGAGCTGCTGGCAGCAGTGGCTCAGTGGGGACACGGGCTGGTGTCCCACTTCTTGTGGTGACCCTGTGGGGTGCCCCATCCCTCCGCGTGCTCCTCGGCCCCCAGCAGCACCCCCTCAGCACCTCTCACTAATGGCATCACGCGGTTCGTTAGGCAAAAATGAGGTGTGGGTGAAACCTCCAGCTGGGAAAGCCCCAAGGCGAGGGGCTGTGCTGGGCAGAGCTCCCCAAATGGGCTATAAACCCCCGGCACGTGGTGGCTGCAGCACCCCAGCGGCTACAGCACCCCGGCGACTGCAGCACTGACCCCGGTGAGTCCCTTTGTGCCCCAAATTTGCCCTCTCAATGAAATTCACCCAGTGGTTGCTGCACCCCAAAACAGCCCCCGGAGAGGTGCCAGCATCCTGGGTGGATTCGAGCAGGGTGGGTGGGGGGACGGGTCCCCATCACCCCCTGACACCGTCCCCGGGGCTGTCCCTACGCAGGAGGCTGGCGATGGTGTGTCCCCTGGAGCAGGCGCTGGCCGCGATGGTCACCACCTTCCACAAGTACTCGGGGAAGGAGGGCGACAAGTACAAGCTGAGCAAGGCCGAGCTGAAGGAGCTGCTCAACAAGGAGCTGCCCAGCTTCGGAAGCGTAAGTGGCCGTGGGGACACGGCGCTGCCCAGCCCTACGGTGCCCGGGCATTGTACCAGCCCTGGGGTTTCCCATGGAGCACGGGGCAGGCCCAGGTGGTCTCCGAGTTCCCCCAAAGCCCACCCCATGGATGCAGCCCCGTGCTCCAGGGACCTGGGCTGGAACAGGCTCAGAGCGAGGGGAAACTTGGCTTTGCTTACACCCACTGAATATTTTCATTGGCAAAGTTGTGCTCCGATTTCAATGTTTTTCTCCCTCTTTTTTTATTTTATTTTTTTATTATTTTTTTAAATTTTATTTTCCACTTCCCTTTCTGGCATGTGGTTTAAATTAGGAGGGGGGCGGAGGCGCAGCTTGTTAACAAAGCTTCTCGGCGAGGCAGAGGCGGATTTGCTGCACACCTCGGGTCCCGGGAAAGCCACTTGCGCCTCCGCGTGCCACCTCCTTCTGACAACACAGGGAAAGCCCTCCTGCAAACAGCCGGGAGCAAACAAGAGCCTTTTGCATCCTTCCTTCCCCACCTGTACCCTCCAGACCCGCTCACCCCTCCCCACTTTCTCCCCCTTGGCAGAAGCAAATGGACGAGGGGGAGTTCAGGAGGCTGGTCAACGACCTGGACCACGACAAGGACAGCGAGGTGGACTTCAAGGAGTTCGCCTGCTTCCTGGCCTGCGTGGCCATGGGCTTCAACGAGTTCTTCAAGGATGCCAAGCAGCCCCGCAAGAAGTGACCCTGGTGCCGTCGGTGGTGGTTTTTTTTTTTTTTAATTTTAATAAAAGCCTTCCCAAAGCCTCACCAGCGCTGCGTGTTGTGGGTGACTCACGCCTTCCCCCAGCCCGTCCTTCCCTCCGTGGGATTTTCCACGGTGCGGCTCAGCCCCCGGAGGCTCTTTTGGAAAAGTCTGAGCAAAACAGCTCCGAACTGCCTCCAGGCGAGTCGCTGAGATATCCCCCCCCCCCCCCCCCACCCCAATTTATCCTTGCTGTCCCAGGGGAGAGGTTTGGTGCACATTTGTCCCCAAATGGGAGCTTCCTGAGCCGCGCAGGGCTCGTGGTCTGGCACGAGCTGCCCTGGGCAATGCAGATTTGGGGGGAGAGAAAGGTGGAGTGGAGGAACTGGGCAGGAACACACGAGGTCCATGCCACAAAACCCAGAGCAAGCCCCGGTACCTGTGCAGGTGGAGATGAACCATGGCTGGGTGGCCACAGGAGCCCCCCCCGGGTCAAGGATGAGCCCACCCTGGGGGGCTGCATTGCAGGGGATGGGCCCAAGACCCTCAATTTGCTGCGGGGTTATGGACAAGCAGCAGCACCCTGGGCACGCCAGGCTGTGATACTGGGCGGGCAGGATGGGGCTGGATGGGGCTGGCCCCCCCGCAGGCACGGCAAGTCCAGGCTGGTTTGCAGGAAGCATCGCAGCTGCTTCCAGCAGTCCCCAGCACCCCAAAACCCTGCAGAAAGCACCCCGGGTCCAAAAATCCACTGCAAAGCAGAGCATGGCCCCTTCACAGCCCCTCAGTAAGCCCCCAAATCCTTTCTGAGCCCCCAAATCATTGACCCCCCCTGCCTCATTCCTCACCAAGCCCCCCAAAACCTCACCAAGCCCACCAGCAGCTTCAGGCTTTGCTCGTCGCCTTCCCAGGGTCTTTAAAACGAGCCCCCAGGGGCTTCTGCCCCCTCCCAGTAACCTGCACCAGTTCGCACCTGCTCCTTAATGGAGAGACAAGGTTCAGGCTTGGGGATTTCTTTTCCCAAAATGTTTTTTGAGGAAGCGCCCGACCCTGGGAGATGCTGCATGGTGTTGGCCGAGGTTTTGTGTCCCGGGGTCTCATCCCCTGGTTTTCTCACGCTGGTCCCTGCAGTGCCAGGTGCCACCGTCCCCAGCATGGTTCTGGGGACCCCAGGGGTGGTGTCAGCCCCCCCCGTGTCACAGCAGGGGGCCGGCTCGTCCCAGGGCTGGGCTGTGCAACCCGCAGGTTCCCGGCTGTCCCCGCGGCTCCTCGGCACGTGCGCGGGACACGCAGGCACCGAAATAGCGCTCCGTTACACAACGGGGCGGCGTGCCGCGCTGGCCTCGCCGCTAGGAAACAGAAATCACTTGCAGGCGACTTGAGCTGAAAACAGAAAAAAAAAAAAAAAAAAAAGGACAAAAGAAAAAGCCAAGCCCAAAGTCTCGGACAAACCCTGCGTGGGCTCGTGCAGCTCCGGACACCCCCGGGGATGCTGCCAAACCCTTTGTGCGTGGCATCCCGTCCCCCACCAGCCTGCCACTTTGTCCAGGTTGTCCCCTTCCATCCCCAGGGGCACATTTTCCTCTTTCTAACCCAAACCAGCCCCTTGGCAGAGCACGGGGAGGAGGGTTTTGGGGGGGGGGGGGGGCCGGGGCTGCCCCCGGGGTTTCCTCTCCTCCTCCTGCAGCCAACGTGCGGCCAGGCGCTGCGGCAGCATTGGTGCCTGCTCATCCGCACGGCGAGGGGGGGGCCAGGCGGGGCTATAAATGCGGTGCCTTCCCGCTGCCTCGCTCCCACCCTGCCCCTCCTCGGCTGCTGCTTTGCGTTCGAGCTCTTGGTGAGTTGTTTTTTCCTGCGATGCTCCGGCCTCCCTCGCCCCGCCGTCCCTCCAGATGTTGCCTTCCAGATGCGTCTCCATTGAACCCCCAACGCTGACCCCCCTGGCTGAGCTCGGGGGCCACATTTCCCCTCCGAAAGCTGCTGCCCACACCCCCGGCGTTGCTTTCTCCCCCTCGGGCATGGCTTTTTGCGGGGTTGCTCAGCGCCCGTCCCAGGTGGCAACACCCAGCCCAGCCGTTAGCGGGCAGGTGAAATTTGGGAGGAAACGGTGATGCACGGGGCGTGCCTGGGGACACCGCGCTCCGTCCTCACCCGCTCTTGCAATCGGTGCCTCCAGGCTTGTTGGTGTCCCCCATGGCGTGTCCCTTGGAGCAGGCGCTGGCCGTGATGGTCACCACCTTCCACAAGTACTCGGGGAAGGAGGGTGACAAGTACAAGCTGAGCAAGGCTGAGCTGAAGGAGCTGCTCACCAAGGAGCTGCCCAGCTTCATCAGCGTAAGTGTGGGGCTGCTGCGCCAGGGCCGGGGGTGCCACGTCCTGGAGACCCCGGGGATGCGCCCCTTGATGCAAAACCCTCATTTTGACCCCTCTCCCCACCGGGCAGAAACAAACGGACGAGGCCGGCTTCCAGAAGCTGATGAGCAACCTGGACAGCAACAGGGACAACGAGGTGGACTTCCACGAGTACGCCACCTTCCTGGCCTGCGTGGCCATGATGTGCAACGAGTTCTTCCAGGGCTACCCCGACAAGGTGCCGCGCAAGAAGTGAGCGCGGGGACCCCGGCTGGGGCTGCACCGTGCCCCCCTGCACCCCCTGACCCCCCCAGCACCCTCCCGCCGCGGTTCCAATGTTCTTTCAATAAAGATTGCTTTAAACCAAGCTCTCCGTGTGTTTGGCAAGGGGGGGGTCTTGCTCTTGGGACAGCGCGCCATGGTGCACGGAAAGCCCCGGAGGCACGTTGCGGGCGTTGGACAATGCCCCGCAGCAAGGAGCGCTTTGGAGGCGGATTTTGGCACGGGATTTTCAGCAGCGTGGGCACCCCGTTCCTGTGAGCCCTCGCGCACTGCCTGCGGGCGCGTCCCCATGAGTCAGCACCCTGCCCTGCCGCGCCGCCGTTTGCCCCTTTCGTTGCTTCGGGCAGGGCTCAGCGGGAGCTTTCGCAGGGATTAACACCTCCAACCGCGCCGTGATAACGGGGACGGGTGGACAAATTTTGGCCAAAATCGTACAGCACTCACTGACCCAGCAGCCAGGAGCACAGCCCCACTGTGCGAGGCACTGTGTGACATGGCTGATGCCAAAGGGACATGGTGGGGACATTCACTGGGGTGACTCATGGGGGGGTCAGGATCTGTCCCCCCACCCTACTGCTCTGGGGGGTATTCAGGACCCTCATCCCCTCCCCAAGTGAACCCTTGGGGAGTGGGGTTTCGGTCGTGTTCCCACTTGGGGTGGGGTTATGGCGTGCAGAGGAGTGGCTTCACCCATGCACCCAGCCACCCCCCGGCCCCCCCGGCATGGGAGGACTCAGTCCATGGCTATAAATGCGAGGAGGAGCTGCGCAGGCACAGCCCTCCCTCCCCGCTCCCAGATCCTGTCCTGCTCAAGCCGGTAAGTCTCCATTTCCTCCATTCCATCCCCTTTTCCCCCCCCTCATCAGACATCTGTGGCCGCCCCGGGGGTGCGCTCTGGGCTCCAGATGTGCAGCTTGCCCTGTCCAGATGTGGACCCCCCCATCCCTTCACTCCTGGAAGCCAGACCTTGGGCGGACAACTTCGCCCTGGCAAGGCAGCGGTGCCACGAAGGCTTCTCCCCATCCAGCCCTAACTTTGTGCCCTGCTTTCGCCCCCCTTGGTCCCCCCCAGCTTCTCCCCATGGGCCCAGCCTGTGTGCGGAGGCGGCCGGGAGCTGCGCCCCGTGAGTCACCGAAGCCACCAGCCTCGGCTTACGCAACGGCCTGGGATGGGGGGGACACGGGGCAGCCCCCTGCCCGATCTGGGATGGGGGGGACATGGGGCAGCCCCCTGCATGCTCAGGGACAGACCCCAGGGCTGTGCTGAGATGGGGCTGTGGGGGCTTTGCCCCCAGCCCGGCTGGCACAGGAGTGATGGGAGGGCTGCGGGACACCCCCGGGGGGACCGTGCCAGGGGGCTCCCCAAGTTGAGGGGCTGCTCACTGAGCTCCCCCCGTCCCCACAGCCCAGCCCACAGCCATGGCAGCCCCCCTGGACCAAGCCATCGGGCTCCTTGTGGCCACCTTCCACAAGTACTCAGGGAAGGAGGGTGACAAGAACACCCTGAGCAAGGGCGAGCTGAAGGAGCTGATCCAGAAGGAGCTGACCATCGGGCCGGTGAGTGTGACACCCCCCCTCTGCCTTCTCCTCACAAGCCAAGGGCGTCACCTCCCAGTGCAGCTTGGAGGGACCTGGGTGCAGGGACACCCCCGGGACAGGGTCAGGGGACGGGCGCAGCGGGAGGTGACACGGGGAATAACGTCACCTGGGGGAGTTGTGGCACAGCCCTGTCCCCACACCTACTTTTATGGCACCTGGTGTGAATGCTGCTTTGCCACGGGGTGGGGATATAACGGGGGACACACGTCTGGCCGGGTCCTGCGGTGCCCCCCCAGCCCCGCTCTGGGAAAGCACAGGGCAATGTGCCCCCCCTGCCCAGCACCCCGTCTGGTAACGGCTCTGTGCTTTTTGGGGCTGCAGAAACTGAAGGACGCGGAAATTGCTGGGCTCATGGACGACCTGGACCGCAACAAGGACCAGGAAGTGAACTTCCAGGAGTACGTCACCTTCCTGGGCGCCCTGGCCATGATCTACAACGACGCCCTGCTGCAGTACAAGTAGAGCTGAGCCGGCCGCCGGGGAGACACCCCCCCCCCCCCTCCCCAATGCCTCTCTGAGGTCCAATAAAATTTCTTTTTGTAAAGTTTTGCTGCTGCGTTTCGTGGTTGTTTTTGAACCTCAAATAAATTAAAACCTCATGGACGGTGCTGGTTTCATTTCTTTTTTTTTTTTTTTTTTTTTTGTATGCTGGGGGGAGGCAGCGAGGGGCTGCACCCTGTGCTCATGTCCCCGTCCCGTGTCCGTCATATGCTGGCAATGCCCTTACTGCTCCCACCCCGTGCTGCATCTTGGCAATGCAGGGGCTGGGGTCTGAGCTCTCTGTGCATCCCCCTGCCCCCAGATGGAGGGTGTAGGGGTTGTTTTGTGACCCTGCTGGGCAGAGCTCACCTGAACATCTGCATCAGGGAAAGGAATGTATAAGCAGCCCTCCGGGCTTGGTGCAGCACTGTACTCACATCCCAGAGGCAGGGGAAGGGGTCTCCCCACATCCCCCCCAATAACCCCTTGACCCTTTTGGAGCCTGATTTGCAATTTGTCACTCTTTGAAGCTGGCGTGATGCCATTCACAAGCATCCCAGCCCTCCCGCCTTTCTTGCACCCTGTCCCTGTCCCTGTCCCTGTCCCTGTCCCTGTCCCTGTCCCCATGGGGCTGTGCTGGCTCCAGCCCCACAGCCCTGCAGCAGGCGGCAGCACCCATGCTGCATGGGGCAGGCTCATGGGCTGTGCCAAGGGCACCCCGTGGCACGTCAGGTGGTGGATGGCGACAGGAGGACCTGCAGTGCACGCATGCCTCTTCTTGCCCGTCCCAGGGTGTGTGCGTCCCCTCCCACCTCCCCACGTGGCACACACGTGTCCCTTCACACCTCCCTGAGCCGCACATCCGTGTTCCTTCACACCTCGCCAAGTGGCACATCCTTGTCCCTTCATGTGTCCCCATGTGGCACATCCGCATACCTTTGTGTGTCCCATCCACGTCCCTTCACGTGCCCCCACGTCCCTCTGCGCCTCCCCGATGGCATGTCTGTGTCCCATCACGTCCTCGTGAGGTGTGTGCATGCCCCTGGTCCTGCCCAGGCGGGACACAATTATTGCCAATTACTGCGAGGACTGCTGCTACGTCACCACAGACACCAGGGCCTGGTCAGACCCCCCTCCCATGGAGGTCGCACCCATCCTGCCCCACCATACAATCTGACCCTTTGTTTCACTCTTTTGCAATGCGTGCTTTTTCTGGAACCAGTTCCTCATGCTCCTGGAGCAGGACGTAGACGGGGAGAGGTTTCACCACCACTGTCCTTCCCATCTCTCAAAATCCCTAAGGGGCATCACGGGCTCTTTGTGGTGCTGTTCCACACGAGCACAGACTTGGGGTGAAAATTTTGGTCATTCTGGGGTGCAGGCTTCCCCCGAGGTGGCCTTTCCTCCAACACATGCACGGTTCAGCTGCCTGCTGAACCAGACACCAGGAACCCCATGGGGTCTCCACGAGCTGTGGCATTTCTGTGACCCTGAAGGAGGTGGCGATTGCCAATAATCTTGGTAGTCATCAGGCAGCAATCACCTCTGCTGGGAAATGCCACCTAAGCACAGCTGGCAGGCTTCCGGCATGCCGGCAAGTCCTGATCTGCAATGTCTTCCTTGGCTGCCTGTGCTAGCTGTTAGGAAATGATGCGCCAGGGATGCTGCCTGTGATTTTGGAGAGGTGACCAGGGTGGGATGCATCCCCCAGCACCCGCAGGTTGGCTCAAACACCCCATCTCCATCCAAAGCCAAACACTGGGGCCGACGTAGGAAGGAAGAACCACATTCCCATTGGGAAATACCAGTATCACCCCATGGAGACCCTCACCTGGCATATTTAATGCGCTCCGGAAAAATCCCTCTTTCCTCATCTCCACCAAGAACCCAAACCTGGGGAAACCCCTGTGCCGTCATGTATCCACTATTCCGGCTCCCCACAAAGGTCTCTTTCGGTGTTTCCTTGTTTTGCACTAGCGAGTTTGGTGTGTCCCCTCCCTCATTAACCCCAGCAGCAGTCGGTTCCTGGAGACATGCAAGAAATTGCCGCCTGGGCGTGCTGCGTGCCGAGAAGCCTTGCACAATTCCCAAGGTTATCACCTCAGAGAAGATTTGAGGGTGTCACAAATCGTAGCTCAGGGAGGGTATAAAAGAGCCCTCTCCAGCACTGTGCAGCATCCGATCCTGCCCGCTCCTCTCCTCACCATGTCAGTGTCAGAACAAGCCATCCCCAGGCCCACCACTCGGTGAGTAGCTCTTCTCCAAACAGGGGCTCCTGGAAGCAGCCAGAGCCCACCTTGAGCTCCTGGAGGGGATGGATATCCGTCTCCTCTAATAATGTTTTGCTGTTTTTCCTTCTTTAGCAAGATGAAGACTGACCTGGAGCTCGCTCTGGAGTGCGCCATCAACATCTACCACCAATATGCCATCAAGAACCCCCGGGATGACTTCCTGAGCAAGCCAGAGTTTACGCAGCTGTTGAAGGAGACCGCCAAGACCTTCCTCACCCACACCTTGCCGGTGAGAGCCGTGCAGCTTGGGTCTCCTACCGCTGGCGAGAGCTTGCATGGGTGTTGGTCTCCTTGGGGCACGGGGTGGCCGAGAGCTTCCCAGAGGGGAGGGAGGGTTGATGGGGTTTTCTTGAAGCTGTGCTGTCCCTGCATGGACCCTCCCCAAACCGAGGTTCTTTGCAGAGATGAAGGGAATTGGAGAGCCCTGTGATGTAGCTGTGGGGTGGCAGGGAACCCAGGGCCCCCGCTGTGTGTCGGACTGACTTGTCCCCATTTGTCCTCCTGCAGCCTAAGATGTCCATCGATGACTACATAAACCAGCTCTTTGCCAAAGCAGACAAAAACCGTGATGGTCGCCTGAAGTTCACCGAGTTCCTCACCACGCTGAACCTTGCAGCCATTGATGCCCATAAAAGGTCCCATGAGCCTACCAGGGGCCATGGCCCACATCCAGTTGGTGGTCACGACCATGGACATGACCATGGACATGACCATGGACACGGTCCCCGCAACTGAGGCCGTTCCCAGGGTGGCTGTGCCCACAGAATTGTACTCTTCCAGCAGCATCATCTCTTCCGTTTGCCCACAAGCATATAACCAAAGCTGTGTTGTCTGCTTCTGCCTATGGCATTGAAATAAAATTTCTTTCTCCATGCACCAAATGTATCTGTGCTATGTATCCTGCATTCTCTGGGGGGATGTGAAGTGTGCCCAGCTCAGCCCGCAGCCATGGGGGGTTAAATTCAGGTTGCAATGGGGAAGCAGTGGGACAGGGAAGGCAGGGGGGAGTCAGGCCACACGTCCCTGCTTCTGTCCCCTGGGACAGAGCGGAGCCACAGGCCAGCTCACATGGGGCTGTTTCACATAGCAGGCTCCCCATCCTGCAGCATCCAGTCCCCAGCAGGGTCCTCACCACCTCCCTGAGGCTCACAGGCTCCTTGCTTGGGGGTGCTTGGCCCCAGCGCTGGGTTTCCTGGGCAGGGGCAGCCAGGGGGGCTGCACAAGAGCATCCTCACCCCTGTGCTCCCAGCCCCTCCTTTCCCCAGCTCTGGGAGCCTCCATGGGCGAAGCACGGCTGGGCGCTTGTGGGGTGCTGCTGAGCCCCCCCAGTGCTGACCTTGGGTGGGGGCACTGCTTTTGCAGCCTGCAGAGCTACTTATGTTTTCCTTGCAAACCCAGCACTGGCACAATGAACAGTGCAGAGGGGCTTTGTGGATGCAGTTTTAACTCTACACGATGAAGCCTCACACTTCTGTTAGCGTTGGGTGGCAGCTCCCGGGCTCCCGACAGGTTTAGGAGACACTCCAGGCTCTTGGGGGCCAAACACACAAGCGGAAAAGAGCTGGGGTGTTTGTGGGGAGCCGTGCACTGAAGGGGAAATCCCCAGGCTCGTGAGGCTTTGACATTTCCAGCATCAGCTGGAACCAGGAGCCCACGCTCTACGAAACTGAGCTGGGAGAGGAAGCACGGGGCTGTTGCGTGGTTATTTGCACTCAATGACACCAGTCGTCGCTCTCCGACGTTGCTGTTTTGCCATCGGCAAGGAGCCCTTGTCCCCCATCCGGGTGCTCTTCATCCCTTGCTCCCTGCCAGCATCCCTGGGCATCATTTGGGCATCACTATGGGTTTTGGGGAAGAGTCGGGGACTCAGAACCCACAGCTCTGCCCCCGGGGGGACATTGAAGACACACAGGGCAAAACCCAGCCGGGCTGGTGGCTTGCAATGACAGCTGGAGAACGAGGATGCAATTTGGGACTGCTGATGGGCCATAATGAGAGAATAAAAGAAACAATAAAGTGAGTCAGGGATACCAGAATAAACCTCCTGCGACAGTTCTCGTTACTGCTCCTGAGACATGTGAGGAGCACCCTCAAACAGGAGTGGTGACCCGTTTGTTTTTGTATCCTCACCCTCTTCCTGGAACCTATTGTCTTGTCTTTACACCTTTTCATAGTATCATCTTCATCCTTCTAGTACCTGCTCTGCTAGTGTCACGGGGGTGGCTGTTGCAAAACATCCCAGTTAATGCTCGGGGCAGCAAAGACCACGACCTTGGATTTTCTGCTTGCTTTGAGCCCAGTTTCCTCCACCAGGTTTCTGGAGCAAGATGGAAGGTCTGGTGCAGGTGATATGAAATGGAAAATAATGGAAAATAATCTGGAAAACCATCTATTGAAATGTAGACAACACTTTCATTTTAGCTAGCATTTGTCCAGTTCATAATGTAGGAAACAGTTTGCAATCACACTAAAAATATATCCACATCTCTCCCAAAATCCCATCTTTTTTGCTACAGCGGCATGAAAGAGGGAAACATTTTCAGCAAAACCTGCAAATTTTTGTCAAGACCTGCCAAGGCGGACGGTGCGTTTCCGTCAAGGTAGGGGAGTGCATCCAGCGGCTTCCCCATTCTTTGCCTGGTTGGAGCCAATGGTGGGGTGACGGGACAGCATTTCCAAAGGCCGGTGGGTGCAACCAGGAACTGTGAGCAGAGGAATGAGATGGGGAGGGGCTCAGACCTTCCCACCTTGCAATTTCCAGGTGCGGGAAATGCTAATTCAAGCTGTTGCTTGCAGCAGGTGTGTCACCAGCTCTGATGAAAGAGAGTCTCAGATGCATATAAAAGGCTGCCCAGATGCCTGGGCCACTTCAACAGACCCATCTTCTGCAAACCCTACTCAGACACAAGGTGAGTAGCATTGCAATGGTTATTGCAGAAAATAAGGTGAGGGAGAAGTGATTTTGTATAGTACTTCATCTCTATAGTACTTCGTATCGTGTCTGTCTTGTTTCAGTGTTTCCCACCTTGGGGAGGTTGGTTTTGGCTGCAGCAAGGCTTTGTGTTGGTATAAATTAGTGGTATTTCTGTGCCATTTTTAGTGTTGTATAGTTGTTTCTGCTATGTGGAGGTACCCAGCTGAGAGCAGGGTCTCCCCGTGCTTGGTGTCTGTGGTCCAAAGGGTTTAAAACCCGAAGTGACAAGGAGGAGGAGGTCAGGCAGAGCCCGTGATGGAGCTGGTATCAGAACCGTGTTGACTCAAAGCCATCCCTGCCATTGGCAGCATGGTGCTGATACACGGGTTTGTCCGTCCTGCCTGAACAATGCCCCCGGGTCAGCCACAACGAGCCGCTTCTTGGGTGAAGTTAATAACGTGTTTGGGCTGTGCTGTAAAACAGCGAGATTCCTAAAACCTCTCATTACCTGCTCAGCACCGAGGAGCTGCCGACCACCCCTGGGTGCTGCTGGCCCCATGGGACGGGGCAGGTCCTTTGCACACCGGTGAGGTGCAGCTCAGCCTCAGGGTGCTCAGGGGCATGGTGTGGGGTGCTTGGCTTTGTCCCCTTCAGGACCGGGCCTGACCCCTCCAGTGGCTTCGGGGTCTCTCTGCAGGTACCCTGAAAGCTCAGCCATGTCTGCAAGCACCGCCACCACCCTGCCTGGGCATCAGCAGTTCCCAGGAAACTGCACGCTGGAGATGGCCCTGAATGCCATTGTGGATATCTACCACCGCTACAGCATCCGCAAGGGTGAAATCGACCTCCTTGACTTCGAAGAATTCAACACGCTGCTGAACGAGCAGGCACCGACCTTCCTGGCAGCCTGTGTGAGTGCCATGGGGGAAGGAATCTGCTGCGGTGCTCCCCGGGATGCTGTGGTGGGAGCAGGGTGCCCTCATCCCCCAGGGGTTGTGGTCCATCAGGCCTGGCTTGTGCGCTGGGGGGGCTGCTCATCCTGCCCCCTAGTACAAGGGTGCTGAGCAGCCAAGGGGGCTTGGGGCCCCTATCCATCTGGGGGTTTTACACACAGGACAAAAGAGGGGCTCAATGATCCCACGGCTTCCAAATGCTTCCTGGGGTACGTGAGAGCAGAGCTGGCTTGGTTTCCAGCAGTGGGAGCCCAGCCTGGGGAGGGGGCACGCTAACACGCTCTGTCCCCCATTGCAGAACAGGAACCGTCCTGGCTACCTGCAGGAGCTGTTCAAGGAGACAGACTTAAACAAGGACAAAGAGCTGTCTTTCGAGGAGTTCACCATCGTCTTGTCCAAGGTGGCTGATGATGCCCATCGCATCATGCATGGGGAAGAGAGATGTAAACCAGAGAGCAACTGAGCTCACACGTGGCGTGGTGTCTGGCCCCTGTGAAGGACCCAGAAGGGGCTGCTTGTAGGAATAGGGCTGTGGCTGCTTTCTGCCTGTTTGGATTGCTCATGAGACAATAAAGCATCACTCGAAGCCTAATGAGTCCTTCCTATCTCAGCACTCACTTCCCATGGATGGGCAGGGTGGGCACCAGCTGCAGGGAGCACGAGGTCCTGCAGCATCCCTGGGAGAAGAGCTTGCCCAAATGGGGAACCCCAAAAACCCCTGGGGGGAGAGATTTATGGCAGATGGGGTGGGTGGGCAGGCAAGAGCTGTATCGCTCAGTGCCTGGCCCAAGCCAATAGGGCTGGGAGGGAATGAAAGGCCTGTGCAGGACACTGAGCTCTGCTGGGTTTAACCACAAAGCTTCAACACAGAGCAGCCCCACTGGAGGTTTTTCTCCTGGGTGAGGAAAATGCATTAATACCCCCCACAGCAGCAGGCTACAGCTTTACAATGAGAACAAGCCATGGGGCTATTAAGAAAAAACAAACAAACACAAAACCCACAGGCAAAAGTTGCTATTTGTACATAGAGCTCCCACCCCATGGGGTGCCAAAATCTTGGCTTGAGCTAAAGGAAAGCTTTGAAGGTCTCCAGGGAGAAGATTCCCCAACCTCTCTGCACAACCTGTGCCAGGGCTCTGTTACCTGCATGGCACAGATGTGCTTCCTGGTGTTCAGGAGGAGCCTCCTGTGCTCCAGGTTGTGCCCAGCACCCCTCGTCCTGGTCCTGAGCACCTCTGACAGGAGCCTGGGGATGCCCAAAGGGTCCTGCAACAACCCAGCCCCGAGGGGCTGCTCCCCAGCAGGGTTTGCAGTTGTGGGTATCTCGCACAGACCCTCACTCAGGAAGCATCTGCCTTGCTCAGAGCAAGCCCCCTGATTTCCCTGAGCTAAAACCACGTCTAGCAACGATAACGTATTCCCAACCCAGACCTCAGGCTAATGCCCGTTATGAACTGCAGTGCACCTCACAGCAATGAACCCTGCCGTGCCCTCAGCCAGCTGCCTGCCCTTTGCTTCTCCCTACTTGTAAATCCGTATTTTGAAAGCACTTTTGCAAACACTGCCAAGCACAGGGTGCCTGGCGAGGGCTCGGCTCCTCGAGGTACAACCAGTCCTGGTCACCTGGAACCAGATTTTCCGTGCTGTGCGGTGCCTGCTTCCTTCTCCTTCCCCTCCGCCGCTCCAGCAAGCGGATGCTTGCTCAACCCTGGCGGCCTTGGGGTCAGGATTGCAGCTCGCTGCAGCTGCTTTGGCATGGCCCGCGGGCACGGCCGGGCTGGAAGGCTCCTCCTGCGAGGAGAGACCTGCAGAGCTGGGTCAGGAGTTGTGCCAACACGTTCCCGTGACCCTGAGTGGTACCCAGGCTCCCCTGTCATTTTAAGGGCTGCGTTCAAATTTAAATGGTAAATGCTGCTCTTGGGGGCTCGTTGCTGCTGCCTGGTGGGCACAACAAAGCATCTATCTACTGCTCCTGCTCTGAAACCCCTGGCCCGTGCC